GTATATTAAAATAGTTGGATTACTATGGTAGTATTTATTTGCAAACCCCATTATAATTTACTTGCATTGTTTGGCTAAAATTGGAACCTTATCTTTTAATTATTTGCTATTATTTGTAAATAGTCCTGTAAACTGAATGCTTGGTTTCGGGTGTGCTTTTTTGTTTCATAATGACACAAATCAAATCAAATAGGATCTCAGTTTCTTATACAATAGTGATTGAAAGTCCATAGCAATAGAACACTTCCTTTTTATGATGGAAGTTGTACTCTACTCGTTATTTGCAAAACAGAATGTTTTGAAAATACATAAGTTTGGTCGATGACTATTCACCATGAAATCAAAGTGGTTGATGTGTGAACATTTAATCCAGTGGTTTGCAAAATAACGGAATAACGATAATACAATATAATTATTATAATCAAAAAACTACGATGGAGTTTTTCTGTTTCTAGGTGTACTATTTTTGAGTTTTCTTGATTTTTAGCAAAAGTCTATATTTTATTCCTTCTATCTATTACCTATCTACACTAACCTTCGCAGTTAGCTTTGTTTTTTCCTTCTAATCAACTTTCTGCATCTGTTCTGTTAAGTTCTTTAGTTTGAGGGAATAGACTATTCTATGATATTTCAAATCATGTTTGTTTGGCTTTGTGACAGAATAATTAAGAGACTAGTGATAATAATTCATTCTTGTAGCTATATTGCCGTCATTATACAATATACTGAAAATATTTGTCTAGAGTTAATAACTAATTTTCTAAAGTAACTTGCAGTTGTATCCACCTGGATTAGGACTGTTTTTAAACAAGTGAGTAGAAAAATCTCGGAAAAAGATGTTTAATAGATTTCTTGTACATGTTCTGTAAACTTCATATTTGAACGCGACATTCTGCCAATAACAAAATCATACATCCTATGAATTTCTGGATGTGATCATTTAGTATTTGAAACACTAGGCTTTTAATCATTGATTCAAAAGTCCGAACCGTGCTCTATTTGGATTTTCTAGGCGACGAGTGGCTCGAAGCTGATATTAGGTGTGAAATTGGTTAAGTTGTATAATTTGATTACTTTTGATAAAATTCGAATTTATTAAATAATAATTTGTTTAATTCTGCAGATGAACTTTGGTCACATCGTTTAATTATTTATTTGATTTTAGAAACATAAACTACTGCATATAATATATTGATGTATTTTGACCCTTTGTACACTTAAATCAGTTCAATATCACATGGTTGCTAATCTTGTAATTTGGTGGTAATGAAGTCGTTTCTGCACATGATGACTAAACGATAGAAAAATCTTTGATTTTGGAATTTCTTTTCAATTAGTATTTCACCATGGTTCAACACTAATGAAATAATACTCGTCGAGTAGATACACTGCGTAATAATTATATAATTGCATGTCGATTATAAAATAACATTGAGTAATTGCAAGAAAGTGGATTATAATAACCAAAGTAACTATTCAAAAATAAAGTAGTTGCTACGTTGCATATTATTTATAAAAAAAAGGAACTGACAAAATATTTCGATGAATAGTCAGTAGTATGGTAGTTATGTAAGAATCAAGAGACGAATGTTGAGAATTAGTATAATACAACAGTGGAAGGGATACTAAAAACTTTTCTATACCGATGACCAAGGTAGCGATAGTGGTTGTACAAACTTCTTTTCGATGCAAAGGGTTGGTTTGTAAACATGGATTCCAGTGGCTTCAGCAATGTGTAAAAGACGAACTCGTAAGCCATGCGGAAAATTTGATGGAATATGGTGGATAACCCTAAAAGCTTTATTCTTGCTCACTTGGTGGACATATGCCGTCAAGTTAGTTCCTTCTTTTTTATATAATATGCAACGTAGCAACTACTTTATTTTTGAACAATTACTTTGGTTATTAAAATCCACTTTCTTCCAATTACACAATATTAGTTTATAATCGACATGTAATTATATAATTATTACGCAGTGTATCCACTCGATGAGTATTATTTCATTCGCTCGATTCGTTCCTTCTTTATTTACCAAATCTTTGGTCGTTTCTCGTGATTGTTAAGAAGTAATGATTATATCCGACTCCTCATTTATTGTCATATATTTCGATAAATCAGATAACAAGTTTCTAATAAACCATTCACTAGCGTTGTTTAGATGTCCCCAATTGGGACGCTGTTTTACACAGAAACACTCACTAAAAGTGAAAGGAAATCTGGTTAGCAGTAAGATTTAAGTCAGTGTCCTGTTTACTCGGTCTAGAACATCCAGCTAAATGAAGAGGTCCTCATACATTATTTTTGGGATTAAAGTGTGGGCGTATATGGGGAACAGTGGCAATACTTTGAGTCAGAACTCCCTTAGAAATATATTTGATATGTGGACGTGCTCCAAAGTATTTTATGATTTTGTTCCTTTCCGTGATCTCGGTGCATGCTTTTTTTCACAATGATAAGGTTTTTTCAGTTTACTTAGGCCAATAATGTTCGCTGGAATAAAATATAGAAAAAGTAAGAAGATGTGACGAAATAATTGTGTTCCTGATGGATGCTTTTGGATATTGTTTAGAAACCGTGACAATCTGATTTTTTTCTTCTAATACAATCAAACTTACGCATTGTGTGACGAATACAAGTAAAATAATACCAGAATTTTTGGGGTAAACGCGATTGATTTACCTTTGGAAAGAAACGTAGATAAATCTGCACTAGATGAAATAGTATGTTGGTTAATGTTTGTAGTCTTTAGTCTGACCTTTTTCCAATTAGGCTCTTAAAATATATATGGTCACAAAATGTATCAGAAGGATTTTTGTGGATATTATAGTGATTTCAATGGTTGAGATTCTGAGTCAATTGAAGCTAGACCACCATGGAAATCCTGGAAGCACTGAATGGCCGTTTCGTCCTGTTGTGGGACTCCTCAGCAGTGCGGATCCACGATTCCGCCTCACGAGCTTCGAACCCAGGACCTGTCAGTCTCGCGCGCGAGCGCTTAACCACAATAGGATGAAACGGCCGTCCAGTGCTTCCAGGTTTTCCATGGTGGTCTAGCTTCAATTGACTCATGATCTCAACCATTGAAATGAAAAAGTATATTAGACGACTACATTAGTCTTTTTTTGGAGTAGATAGGGGATTTTGTTGGAAGAACAAATAAGACATGAATGAAAATAGTAATATCACAATGAGTCGAAAAATTATTTTCATTGATAACATTCTACTCAATGTCCAATTTACTTGAAGTTATCAAGTCAAATCTTAGTAATGACACCTACAAATAAGACATTATTTGAATGATAGATAACGTTGATTGGAACTATGCGATATATTAGCAAATCTTTCGAATAGGCTGGTCACAAAAACATTTTAATAATATTTATGCTAGAAATAGAATAATTCAATTTAAAATAGTGAGAAGAAAAGAACAGCTATAAAAAATTTTTTGTCATTCTTATTAGAAGTTTCAATAAATATTTCTTGTGAATACAAGCTTTTTGAATATTCTATGTGCTGGGGACGTTAGCTTCTCATAACTCATTTGGAAAAGGACCAGTCAGGACTCTAGACTGCTCACACGTGTTTTATGCGTCATTGGTCCGGTCGGTAATTCACTGCTCCCTAATTGGCGGTATGATTACGTTATACATCAACAGAGCACACAGACCACAAGTTATAACACTATAGAATTTTAATTTTTGTCCGGCCAAGACTTGATTAGATCTAGGTGTTCACTTTTGACTGCGTTTCTTCATTATTACAAAAGTTGCTTTTAGTCCCATGACCTGTTCTTAATATCTGTTCAAGTATATTTTTCGTATAATCAGGACATACTTCTTTGTCTACGTAAAATAATCTGAAGATTCGAGGAGGATTAGATTAGTTTTCTTTAACTTAGATGTTTTCAACAAACCAATATCCACTAGGAATCAATAAATGTCCTCTCTTCTGATAGGGACTAGATAGTCTTCTTTGCAAGTCTTCAAACGTAATATCTAATACTTCTCAACAATCATTTTTTTGAAAATAGAAAATTAGTGTTTATTGATTTTTTAAAGTAAATTAGTAATATTCCAGAGCTTATCATACATTTAATGATGTCAAAGGTATAATGTAAGTTCTTCTGAATAAATGCTGCAGAGAGTTGTTGGTTTATGAGTCTAAAGTAAAACAACTAGCAGATAATGCTTTTCTGTTTAATTCTTTTATCATAAATGGAGCCATGGGGAGTGAACTAGTGAAAATACTCATAAGATGTTTGATGTGTTTTCCGTAACTTAAATGTTCTCATTTAGACATTAAAAGTACAATTCATACAGAGGAATATTACTTTTCAATTCGCTTCCCATGATAGCTCAACATTAATATGTAGTTTTACATTTGAATATAAAACACAAGTTAAATGGTGATAGAGAAATTAACACATAATAATAATAATAATAATAATAATAATAATAATAATAGTAAAGATGGAATGCAAATCGGTGGATTATTAAAACATTACACAAAAAGTAGGGTACAAATACACTTAAGTGTAATTTTAGGTTTAAGAATTAGTTAATGATCTTTAACTATTGCATAAGAATAAGGATTGAAAAATATAAAATTAGGTTTATAAATCGGTTAGTTACTCAAATCAATTACATAAAAATGAGAAAAGCAAAAGGAGTATAAGTATAGGTTTAAAATTAATAGCCTGTTAATTATTAGAAATAATCACTTTGGAACAACTATGAAGAATGAAGGGATAGACTTAAATCTAATTTGATGGCTATGGCGGAGAGACACCTTAAATTAGTAATAGAAATTTGAATAACGAACACTCCAGTGTATTTTTTTGCTAGCTAATGTTGGTCTGTCCAACTAGAATATAAATCAAATAATTAGTTCATGCGATAATCATTATGTGAAAAGCTAATTCTCATTGGTTAATTAGTGATAGTTTAAAAAATATATATATATATCAACTGAATTTTTGTTTTCTATATTATATTAACTAGAATTCTTATCAAATGATCTCCCACTTCATCCCTGTATTCAGTTTTTGATCATAAGCTAATCAATCATGTTGTGGAGTATACTATCTTCATTTCACCGGTTTCATTGCAATTTTGTTCAAACTTTATGTCATCAGCATCATTTACTTGGGATTAGAGTAATGCCAAGTTGTTCACGCCTAAGAATGAGAAGTTTATCGAGTGGATCAAATATCTTTAGTATTGATGAGAAACCAGAAGCTCCAGAAGCAGATTTCGTACACCGACATATTGGTCCATCTGAGAAAGATATCAATCACATGCTCCAATTTTGTGGTTTTAATGTAAGTGTTTTGGTGATTAATTTGGATACATTTTTTCGCCTTTTATTTCAACTAGTGTTATCTCACCATCAGATGTTTTACTTGTACTATGACTTAATGTGTCCTTATTTTTATTTTTCATCAAAACAATTATACTAGGATTCGGTAACGAGTAGCCTATTATTTACACAGAATTTAAGAACCCAATGCGTTTATTACAATAATTGTGTATATTCAGATTTATAGATCTTTTATGACTACGTTTACACAAATTATACGCCAGTTAATTGTGACAATACAAAAGCTAATTAAGTAACTCTTATTTATCTGAATAATTTGAAGAGTTCATCAAAGCACATGTCATCACATTGCCGAATGATTCGGATTATATTTATCTTGTTGACAAGATGGTGAAAATTTTGACTGTACAATTAATTTGATAAAGAAAACACTCATCACCTTCAGCGTAGCTATTTACAATAGCAGGACGTATAACAATCTATACATATTCAAGCTAAATGTACACGAATTAACTGCAGTTTAAATGTTTGTGTGTGATGATCCTTTAGATGTTAACTACTGTTGGCCAGAGGGCTTATATATGATGTTTGCAAAGGATATACTTACTCGCGTTAACTTTCAGATATTTCAAACGTTTTTGTAATTTAAGCCTATCTATCACATCGTAAATCAAGAAACAGGTATGTTTCACTAAAGAGACCTTTCTCATTAAAAATCTTACAAATTCTAAAGTGGAAGTGGGGAAGTGACAATCGTCCTCATACATCTAACAGCATCCAAAATCATCTTGTTCACAATAATTTAATAAGGTATAGCAAATATTTCAACGGGTTCTCGCATTCACATTGTTTATAAACGATTGTTAATGTTTTTAAAGGTTTAGTTTAATGTTCATTTGTGTTGTGTTAATGAAATTAACAAAAAAACTAACCAACATCAAAAACTGAAGATTTGTTGCTCTGTGTACCTTTCTGCTACCGCTTATTTATGATCAAGTCAGTTAAAATATTGAGTGGTTTTTTTATTTATTAAAAAAATTAGTGGTTCAGCGTCAACTAATTAAGAAGTTATTATAAAAATGAGAATGGACTGGTTGTGAATGTGCAAAATAGGTTAGGTTCATAGTTTTAATAGAAATAGAAAGCTATCGATTGAAAAAGTTCAAGCATGTTAAATTACTAAATCACCAAACAAACCTAATTTCTGGTCGTGTTAAATTCTCAGAAATATAAGTTTTATCTTTAAACAGAGGAATTAGAATCGATTATAGATAAAAAATAGTTATGAAGCTTTTAATTGTTTCAAACTGTTGATTGCAAGTAAACATAGTAAGGAAGTGTCCGTAAACAAGTATGAACAATTCCAGATAAACAAACTGTCACTCGCTGAATGATGTCAATTGTATCCAAATATCTTATTTACAATAATTGATTTTCATTTTACATAAACAAATAACTTCTTACCAAACTATAAGTGAAGCTCAACTAGTATTTTTAGTAAAATGAAACCAAGAATAACAAGCGTTGGAGAATAAGGCTAGTTTATTTGTTTCATGGGTTCTCGTCAGCTGTTTGCATTTTTTACAACTAATGTACATACTTTGTTAGATGTTAATGAAGTTTAATGGACTAATAACAACTGTTGTGGAAGAACAGTCTGTTAATCCATCATTTCGGGGTTGTTACTACGTAACTTCGATATCAATTTTCTTGCTCAAGAAACGTAAATCCATGTGTTTGGAGGATTTTTTTCTTCTAGATATTTCACGTTTAGTAGCGTAAATATTCATTCATTTTACCATTTTATAATTATTTTATACTTGTTGTTCTACTAATTTTCATTAATATGGTATGAACTATGTACATTAGTTGTAAATGATTATTACTATTCTTCTAGGTTATTAGCAGCTGACGAGAATCCAAGAAATAAATGAATTCATCCTATTCTACTATACTTGTTGTTTTTGCTTTAGTCAAACTTACCAAAGGGAAAATTGTGTGAAAATGAAATCTATCTTATAACGTTTTGCAAATGGATTACAGCAGCAACTATGATCACATTAGAACAGCTTACCTCTACCAAACTTCAATAAAACTCTATCTCATTTGAACAGAAAATTGACATTTTGATAAACATATATATTAAAAATACAAAAAACATCTGTGCGGTTGGACAGTCATTATTCGAAATATATTTACTTATTTAATACTATCTTTCGTAACACGGCGACGACGACCCTAGTCGAAAATACACTCATTTATATATTGATTTGTACATCCATTTTGATTAATGATTAGGATGAAATCATATATATGGAAAATATTTAGTCATCTCATGCTGCATATCATGTTGAGCATAGTTTATGTTAATTGAATACAAGAATATCGTATGTTATACAGAATAAAATATTATACGGGTAAACAACTACACTAAATGATTATCACATTGAATTAAAACGGAATTAATGTTGAACAAAAATCATAATAAGTAAATTAATCTCAATTTGACTTTTCATCCCGTTAGATCAAAATATGTAACTGTAATAAGTTAACTTACGAAATTTTAGTGTACAGTCCATGTAATACAAGTCGAAATTCATTCCAAGTGAATATTTACCAGACGATAATCGAATATGAGTGTTGAATACTTTGACGTTCACTTACAAGTTTTATGATCACGAAATTTCCATCCGTTCATTGTACATCATTTAGATAAGTTTAGTTAAAAACAAATTGGAAGTCTAACCAATGTAGCAAAAAACATTATGTTAGTGTGCTTTACTTACGTAAATATAGAAGTCATATCGGTGATTTTATTCCTTGACGTGAATTCTTCACAAATATTTCGATTTCTTACACCAGTGTTATCAGTGTATATGCATCATTACGGCTAGTTATTGTACTCTACTTCTGATAGCCGATTGAATTTTATTTCTTTTGCTAAACAGTGTTTATATTCATTATTTGTTTACTGTGCATATTAATTGACCAGATATTTAACCTAATATTTCTATGATATACGATTCCTAGTTATCCGTGTTCTTCTTGTGCTTCAATGTACAAATTCATAATGACATATCCACACATAATCCCAAAAAGACAAAGATATGAGATCCTGGCGAACGTTTTGTTCTGTGTATTTGTAAAATGAATGTTATGCACCAAACAAACCCAATTTTGTCTAACGTTTTTAAATTCGCAGTTAAATATATTTTCGTTTCATATAAAACCGCTATTTTTATGATAAGGTGACATTAGTTTGACCATAAATAGCATATTCGGTAGTTTTGAGGTCATGATAATAATTAGAATGTCGACAGTTAGCGATCCTAAGTTTACTGAATCCTACACATGAATGAATGAAGCATCACATTTTTATAGAACTAACGACACAACAGTGTGAATATTTTTGGCAAATTTTGGACTTGAATTTCTTTTCTCAAGTCATGTTGAGTTGCTGTAAATGAAATCCAACTGACAGGAGTATTTAGCTCCGCGTTTTCTTGAGTTGTCCTTGTCTACAGTTGTTTTACAATGTCCACTGAGAAGTTCATTAAACAATGACTTTAATCAGCTAAAGTACAAGAGAATTGTTTGAGGTGACCATAGTTTATGATCATTGGTAACTTATTTCCACCTTTTTATGAATTGTATAGTTGCTTCTAAAAATCATTGACACACAGAGATAAAGCAATTGACATGATACGTTTTTAACTGTATTGTATGTTAGATAAAACTTTGATTTGAAGTATTTTAAAGGAAAAGTCATTAAAAAACAAGGTAGTTTGTATCAACGCGTTATTTCCATGTAGTTTATTTTCTACATTTTCTCAATAAAATTACTGGTCTCACTGACAGTTACAACAAAATTAAGAATTACGCTTAAAATGGTTTGTTTCAAAAAATCACATCTCTCAGTTTCCTGAAGGAAACAATTTTCGTTTCTCAGTAAATTTTAATATTCCATTTCATCAAACAAAACTACAGTCACGTGCTTTCCTAATGTTGATGAGAAAGTGAAATCCTAATATAACGTTGGCTTGCTCAAATGTTTGGGGCATCTGTTTCACAACTGTATAGATGTTATAATAAACCTTCCAGCATCCGCAATAAAACAGTTAATTCTTAGATGCATAATGAATGTACAATTCAGATTTGACAACGAATACCATAGATAGATAGATGGAGTTGCCATGGGATCACCATTGGGCCCTCTACTGGCTGATATTTTCCTTGCAAAACTGGAAAACGGACCACTTAAAAGCATAATTAGCCATTTACCAACTTATTATCGCTATATAGACGACACCTTCATAGTACTAGAAAAAGAAAATGATAAGGACAATTTACTTATTACATTTAATAACGTTCATCCATCATTAATTTTACAACAGAACGACAGCATATCATTTCTAGATGTCCAACTAAAAAGAAGAGCAGACGAGACTTTAAAAAGAGGGGTACACAGAAAATCTGCAGCAGGACAACACACTCATTTCTATAGTGCAGTTCCAATCAGGTACAAAAGGAACTTGATAAAAATCTTGACACATCGGGCTAGAATGATTTGCTCTGAAGACACCATCGGAGAAGAATTGAATAATATTCGGAACCTACTTAGCATGAATGGGTATCCCATGAAATTCATCGACAAACATATGATGGAGAAGAAAACAAGGACAAAGTTACCCACCGTCCATAAGAAGGTACTATTCATAAAACTAAAATTCATAAATGACACCATTGAAGAAATCTTGATTCAGAAACTAAGAAGAGGCGTACAAAATACATTTAATGCTGCCAGATTAAATGCAATCTTCTACAACTATCCCAAGATAAGAACAGCCAACAAAGACAAACTGCCTGAATTCGGCGAATCTATGTGTATCTATCGTTTCAACTGCTCCTGTGGAGCCAGTTATATTGGGCGTACAATTCGGCAAGTCCGTCATCGCATTACTGAACATCATCCGTCGTGGTTAAACAAAGAACAGGTAAAAGTGATTAAAAGTTCTATTCTCTCTCACTTGGTTGACACAGGTCATCAAGTGAAATTGAATAAAGCTTTTAAGGTTATCTACAATATCCCATCTAATTTGCCACATGGTTTACGAGTGCGCCTCTTGCACATTGCGGAAGCCATCGCAATCCATGTTCACAAACCTGACCTTTGCATTCAAAAGAGATTCGTACAACCACTTTCTCTGCCCTGGCCATCAGTTTAAGATTTCCTTCAAAAAAACTATTTTTCATACTTCTTTTGTACTTTTGTTTCTGTTGCTTTTGAACTTAATAACTTCTCAACATTCATCTCTTGATTCTTACGTAACTACAATCCTATTGACCATCCGTTAAAATTCTGTTCCTTCTTTGTTTCTTACATTACGCAACTTAGCAACTTCTTGATCACTTTGAATATTAATAATCCTCTTTCTTCCAATTAATCAATGTTAATTTAAATGTCATTATGTAATTAATTATTACGTAACGTATCTACTCGATGAGTATTATATTACTATTGTAAAACTATATATATTAGTGTAGAGCCATGATAAAAAACTAATTGAAAAGAAATTTCTTCGCTCTATTCGTTCCTTCTTTGTTTTTGATTTATTTAAACTTAATTGTATGTACTCGCGCGGTGTCATGAAAGAATTTTGAAATAAAAGAGATGAATATATTCAAATTCAGGAACTCAATATTTGATGGGCAATAAATTGTTGAGCACCAGAACTGATGGTAGGCTTTCGTCATTAAATATACTTACTAATGGAAATACGTTTATGAGAGATAATTTTCGAATGATTACCATTTGAATGTATACTAAAGAGAAATTTATGGTAATATTGCACAATTGATGCTGAGAATTCCTCATCGTAACAAAATTTTTATAGTGGTTAAAACTCATTGTTATACATTAAATATTTATTGAGAATTCCTACAATTAAGTAATAAACAATAAACCTTACATGTCGCGTCTTATGATCCTTCGTTGTTCATAACATCTTAAGACTGTGGAATGAGTGGTCACATATTTACATATAAATGAGTAGTACTTATGTCCAATTACTTATTAGTGGCAAAAAGAAAATTGACATGTAATTTAGTCTTTATTACATATTCTTCAGTTATAGTCCTTGTACATAGGTAAAACTACTATGAGTCTCTCACACACACAGTGTACTTTTTGTCTAATTCACATCTTAATTTCACAAATTTTCACACTATTAATCACTGATTTCCATTGAAGAAGTCAAGATATAATTTAATTTCTAAATATTGGGGTTATTTATAATTCTTGCTCCTGTTCACAATCATTTTTTTATTCTTTATTTAAAAATTGTCTTTTTAATTTTCATATCGGGCTATACCAATTATTGCTTACTTTGTTTGCTTTTCTCTAGAGAATTGAAGATTTTATATCCAAAGTAATACCAGATAGTATATCACTAAAAAGGGATTTGAAATTAGAAAATGAAACAAGTATGTATGAAGTATTTATTTAGGATAAATTAGTTATTTTACTATCTATGAGTAAAACATGTAAATTAACTACAACTCAGTAAATATATGTTGGCTGAAATTCTGAGTAGTTATTGATAAGTACTGTGTAAATAAATGTGTTAGTGTCTCACCGTTGAGACTTAATTAAATTTAGTTTGAACTAATCTCCCAGTGATTTTAAGATGAATCCCTGAATCATTAACCCACTCACTTGTCAATTCACTTATCGAACTTAAGCAATGTTTATACAAAATTGGAAATGCTGATTTTCGGAGATGTTGTCCACATATTTTGTTGTTAAATAAAAATATTTCACTAAGCATATCTAGGGTTGTTTCAATTTGTTTATAGTAATGTAGCTAGTTTTTAGGATAATCACCGGTTGAAGAGGTCAATCCATGAAATTCGAAGTAGCTTTTCGGTAGTTTGTATTCTGTATGGATTTCAGCCACATTACTATAAAAAATTAGTAATCAAAATACAAACGAGTTTTGTCCTAAAATCCTTCACTCGTTGCTTCAATAATATTCATATATCGTTACAAAACTCTTTAGCTCCGTATTAGGTATTGTTTCAATAACCAGATCATATTCATAAAATCCATTGGTATAACAGACGAAATTTAAAAAGAACAAAACTTATTAGTGTACGTATTTTTACTGCTGATTTTAACAATATTTTTAATTGATCCCATTCAAATCACTCGTAACTATTGTAATTATTATTTCATAAACTTAAGGTGAAGTAGAACTCATCAGGCGTTTAAAGTTGCTCATGAGCAAGAATGAAGTTTGGCGTTCTTATATTGGACAAGGATATTATGGTACTGTAACACCATCTACAATACAACGTAATATATTTGAAAATCCCGGTTGGTATGTTAATATACATTTTCTCAACTTTCCCTACAGTTATTTCAATTGCTATGTTGTTTTAATTTGTTATCACCTTCCAATATGTTTTACAATATTTTTTACCTAAATATTCTGTTGAAGAATACATAGAATTTATCTTCAATATCTCGATTACTTTAAATCCGGAAATCTCATTTGTTTAACCAACTGGCAATTATACGATTAAGGGAATGACATTGCTTAATCCTAGTTAACAAGCTTAAGGTTTATTTGTGAATTATTTGTGAATTAGGCTTACATTTGTGTTGATTAATCATTGAGTATCAACCGATTTCACGTTTGTCTAGTTTTTAATTCTGATTGAATCCTATCTGTTAGTTTTAATGACTTGATATTTTTAGCACTGTTTTGACGTTAGATGGTCGGAGGTAGAAAACCTTGTATTTACCAAATTGTACCTACAACCTTGAGGGAACTGATGAGTGCTGTAGGATTGGGACTTATCTCAACCAGTTTCATAGTCTTGAATCATCGGTTGAAAGTTATTTATTTATAGTGGCAACGGATCTAGTTAAATGCCAACTATTATCGTGACCCAGCTAATATGCTTCAATTTTTATCACTTAAAGTTCTCTATTCCGTTTTTATTTTTCACTGATTCCTTGCACATCAAGGGTTGTACGATTATGTAACATCAGAATAATACTGCCAATTTTCGAATCAATTTACGTGATAATTTTTCACGAAAGTTAGTTTTACTTCATCTCAACTACCGACCAATAGCTAATCCTCAAACCCCAAACTGAAAACGTTTTTCCAAATTTTCACCTCTCAACAAACCTTCATTTTTCAGGTACACTTCCTACACACCATATCAACCTGAAATAAGCCAAGGTCGTTTAGAATCACTATTTAATTATCAGACAATGATATCAGACTTAACGGGTTTGGCGAGAGCAAATGCATCACTGTTGGATGAAGGTACAGCATCTGCAGAAGCAATGTGTATGGCAGTCAGGTAAGTTCTTGTATTTTATACAAGATATTCCACTTTATTAAGAAGCTACTAAAAAGATGTGTTTCTTCTAAATGTGAAATATGGTTTACATTTTAGGTAAATAAGTAAAAGCGATTGCAGTATAAATAGTATCATGTTGTGTAATGTTGTTTGAAGTTCATCAACTAAGTTTGTAGTGTATCCTTAAATAACAACTCAAATAATGTAAATCAAAGGACTCGAAATTTTTGCAATAGACAATTAGAATGTCAACCCTATGTCGACAGAGAAAATTTTGACGTATCCATTACTTTTAAGAATGACAAAAGTGTATGTTTAGCAGCAACTGTATTTATGTTACATTCAATCTTTCTTGTGATGATTTTTGTCCCATAGATATACAAACAGAAAAAGGTTTCTCCTCGATAGGAGATGCCATCCACAAACTATGAATGTCGTCACATCTAGAGCAAAGTAAGTGGAACTTGAAATTAAAATTGTCCGTGGTTTTTTGTCGTGCATAATTTTTACTCTCAATTTTCGCAAAATATGCAGTTTAGCTAAGTGATAGCACCATTTCTAGTGTTTTATCATTTGAGATATTCTTCAGTTAAAACATCTAAACTCTTCAAGACTTATGGCACATATACAAACATCTGAAATTTAATGTTTTTCAGTGACGAATTATGTGACGCACCAAGATCTCAATTACAGCAAACATAATGTGATGTAGTTAGTTAATTCATTCTGTTGATAGGTTCTATTCTTTGAAGATGTAATTGGCCAACTAACGTTTAATAGGGAAAACAGTATATTTGGAAATTCCCCATCCATCATTCTGATCAACTTTGACTATTGGTACAAGTTGTATTATGTACAAATTATATACATTGTAGTTTGTAATGAATAGATTTTTCACTACTAAATTAAGTGAAACAGTGGTTGATCTTCGAGTATCTACCAACTGGTTTGTTATCGCACCAAATAGCTATCATACTGTGAAAACTACCTGGACTAGCCGTCAGGTATTCATTTATAGTCCTTCAAATAAATAGTCCAGTCTTGTTCCAAACAATTTATAGTTTTTGTATCAGGATCTATAAACAAAGTGGGTTTAAGCCCCAGGTTAGTAATGCTGCATAGTAACGAAGGCTAGTTACAAGCTTTTAACGAAAAATCTTTTTTAACTCCAGGTAAGAATAATATCTTCTTATGGCTTTTTTTTCCTTCAGATATAAAAACCTTCAATGATTCTTCAATAATTTATGATCATCGAAACTATTTGGTTTTGTTCATTTAAAACAAAAACAATTAATTATGCTACGTCAGGTTGCATTTGTTTATATTTTGATTATGAGATACTTAAAGTTACAGTAAATCAACGATATAGCACCGTTGATTACAAATTCAGTTTGTTGTGATTCACTCACAAATACTTTTTATCTAGTAGATTATATAACTGAATCACTATTCAACTTCAATATCAGTCAGTCAGTCATTCATCTACAATGTAGGATCAGGCACATGTACATCGGTCCAAAATGTCACACAGAATGTCACGACAGAATGAATACCAGATTCATAGACGCAGTTACTTCAATGGCAGTAGTATATGTAAATAAAGGTTACATATAAGGATATGATACAGGGAGAAATAATTAAGTCGTAGAAAGAAAGGTATAAAGTAATTTTAATCTCACTGTTTAAGGGAAGACTTCACTCTTTATCCTTAGTTCAGGTGTTAACGCAGGCCAATCCTGAAGCAACAACATGCATTTAGAGGTAAAAAAGCACATCCCAAACATCCTGACATTGTTGCTCATTGCTACCAAAAGTCTCTGCATTTTATCAGCGTCTTCAACAAACAGGATTGTTATCTGCGTATCTTAAGTCTATGAGTGAACCTCCTGGAACGAAATCAATCCCTCAAAGTTTAGAATACGAGAGTGTTATTTCCAGCAGTATGTCTATGGTGAAATTGGACAAAAAATGGAGATAGTGGACAGTTTTGTCGGACACCACTTGAGGTTGCAAAATCGCATGACAGTTCACCATAAAGTCTGACTTGACTGGTAGTGTTCGAGTAAAAAGCCTTCACAAGGTTTATATACCTCTGAGGTACACCTTTGAATGAGAAACACTGCCACAGAAGCTCTCGTTGTACAGAGTAAAATGCAGCTTTTAAATCAAGAAAAACTATCATTTTCAGTATTGGTTTGTGGAGATTATTAAGTTATTGATTGAGATCTCGAACCGATTGGTATTAAACTACCATTGAAAACCTGAAAGTACTGGACGACCGTTTGTTGTGACTTTAAGTTGGGTCGATTTTTACCTTGTGCTAATTGTTGTGTCCTTGACTGAAAAACTAGAGAGCAGCGTATTTATCGATCGATTCAATGACACGTAAACACGTACGAACGTAATGGACGACCTAGAGTTACGATTGGTCCCACTTTCCTGTCTATCCCAACCAATCGAGTCCAGAACACAAATCTCAGCCTCTGAGTTACGAATCATTGTATTCCAGACATACTCTATTTATATACTAACCAAACATACCACATCGTACCATAAAAATAGAAAACAACATTTTGTACCATATTCAACAAGTGGACAGATATCGACCAGTAGGAAATGTCCATTTAAAGTCCAAGGACGCCATTGGACTTAACATGATAATTATTGGTCTATCCTTCGCATCCACAACACCGTTTCTTCCTATTGTCGGACTCCTCAGCAGTGCGTATCCACGATCTTGCTCGCAGGATTCGAACCCATGGCCTTCAGTCTTGCACGCGAACGCCTAACCTACTAGACCACTGAGCCAGGATTTGGCGGTGTTAACGCCTAACATCAACCAATCCACGAAATTACGTGATCATCTTCTATTGTACTGAGGTACCTGTCTCTCCTCGACGCGTATTAGCTCCATTGGTTACGGCTTCTCACTAGAACTCCGAGAATTCCCTCACGAATTTAGTCAGTTGTGAGCACATGGTAATTATTGGTATATAGTTGTGGAGATTATTAAGTTCTAAAAGTGCTTGTTCTGCCTTCATACTTAGTGTTATGCCTTCACCCACCAGTCCACGAGAATTTGCCTTCGGGTCGCTAGATAAATGGAGGGTGTATCTTGTCGGTTCCCTGTTTTGAATGATTATAATAGCATCTTATGTGTGTGTTTCGAAGAAGCAGCATACATCAATGGTACGAAATTCTAACCTCTTGGTTAAGGAGGTCTATTAGCCGATTTCACATAGGGTACGTACGTTGAAGGCTCCAATGTGTAGTTTGGAGCGAGGTTTCAGTAGGCCTGTGACAGCAATTCTCGCACTAATATTGTTGACCATGGTGACATTTGGGGGGAAAGTCGAGGTAAGAGTAATAGTATGAATTAAAGAGAGAAATTTATTATGAATACTGTGGTCTTGATTGCTTTTGGAGGTATGAGGCGGTTACTAATTCCTGGTTACCCACATTGCAGAAGGGTTCTTTTAGAGAGGTACCTGAAAAGGAAATTGGGCTAGAATTGTTCTTGATGACCTGAGAGTGTGACCGCAGTGCTTAAGGGATAACTACTTGAGGCCGGTCGCACACGACCCTTTTGTGGGTAATTTTTAACCTCTATTTATCTAATAATCATAGTGAACAAGGATGTAAACATCGAACACTTGTAAGTTTTATCGGTTTTAGTTGGAACCATGCACTCGAATCTACCATACATGAATATGTGCATTAATATATGTATAATATTGCATCCTTTTATTTGTCTTCACTTAAGAAATCAACAGCAAAAAACACTTGAAGTTATATAACACAATGATGACTCACGTCCTAATTAACTTTTATTAGTTAATTTCTGTTAAAACATACTACCTGTCCGATTTTTTTGAAATATTTAAGTGTATAATCATGTATACCATAAGATAGTTGATATTCTAATATTCAACATTAATCACTGTATATTATCAAACGTTGGTATCAGATACTTGAAGCTAGGGTGGATCGTTGTATTTGTATAAGGTGATAATATTGAAGACGGGTGCATGATGGCCGATAGAATTCGGCTGTCGATAATGTGCATATTTTGAAGTTTAAATTCACGTGGTATTGTTTACTTGAATCTTCCCATTGATGTTTGGGACTGCAATTGATCAGTCTCTTATTGGCATATGCGCATACTAAGCCTGTTGCCTCCATATTGCCTTAATTCATAAGCATTATAAGCAAAGATGGATAGTGAACATCAACTCTGAGATGCAGGTACATCCACATGACTAGTCCCAAATAGGACGAAACGCGCATCCTGGATTCCACTGCTGGCCACTAGCCATTTTTGCTTATATTATGAAGTTTAATTTTTCATTTGGTGCTTTAATAGTTTAAACTGTAAGCTTTCAAATTAAGTGTCAGTATCGGGTTGTGGAGATCATTTAATTTCATCGAAATTATGGAACGATCAAAGTTAAACAACCGTTAGGAAACCTGGTTCAGGGGTCTATAGGTCAGGTGCTAAGGTCCTGGGTTCGGTTTCCGGCCAGTGGGTCGTGGATGACCATTGTTAGGAAGCTCCATACCAGGACGAAACAGCCATCCAGTGCTTTCAGGTTTTCAATGTTGGTCTAACTTTCATCAGTTTATAATTTCAATAGGATTTCAACTATCTGTTTGTATATATATATATATATATATATATATATATATATATATATATATATATATATAATTCTGAACGACGCTATAAATAAGAAAAACTATACAGTGACAGTAGTCAAGATCTTTATTAACTCGTGTATGTAGTTCAGTGATGTGTTTGATGACTAGCAAAAGAATACTGAAAGCATAAATCTAACTTTTTAAAATTGCACATACTTGCAAATGATAACTTGACTTTCCATAGTATTCTAATCTTAGTTATGAAGAATTCTGTTACACCTTCTTCATGTAAATTAATATAGATCGACTTATCAACGTTAGAGCTTTTTATTTAGTATGAATATCCTAATTTCTTGTCTCGTAATTCAGGACCTAATTCTAGGAAAAATTATTATCGAATAACTTTTCACAAACTTTTGTAGTGCATTGTTCTTTTGGTAAATGTTTTTGTCGATAATTGGTGGTTTTAAACGGAGTTTATCCATTTATTCTTTAGGAACCTTAATATTGAAATTGAAGTTGTTTCCATAGACAATGTAGAACACGTAAAAGAAATTATTAGTACTGGACAGTTCTCTGGATATCTACTACAGTATCCAGATACAGAAGGTAATATATGGGATGAGAAAATACGTGCAGTTGCTGAACTAACGAAATTAAACAAGGTCAGATTTAAATCTTATTTACTATTTTAATCATTCAAATAAAAAACATTGTAAGTAAAATTAATGAAGGGAACTAGTGATTATACTTAGGATCTTCAAAAGGCCAAGATTACACCATAGAATAGTATTTATACAAAATGACTTAGTAATAGCATTTATACTAAGCTTGCAACTAATCAGCTTTCAGCCTTTGCTCCCACTGGTCATGTAATAATTGTCGAAGGAAAATATAGCTTTCGTTATTTTAATTGTCTCTTTGTGATTCTTTGTTTGTTTATCGCTTTCAGACACTGGTAACAAATTTGTTAAATTGTATTTTAAACCATTATTTGTTTATTTATTTAAGCCTGTTACCCCTCATGGAGGAGCATAGACCACCCACCAGCACTCTCCATCCATGTCCTGGGCAATCCTTTCCAGTTGTTATTCATCCTTTTCATATCCGCTTCTGTTCCCCGACGTAGCGGTTTCTTCGGTCTTCCTTTTTCTGCTTCCCTTCAGGACTCCAAGTTAGGGCTTACCTCGTGATGCAGTTTACTGATTTTCGTAATGTATGTCCTGTTCACCTTCAACGTCTTTTCTTAATTTCCTCTTCAGTTGGAAGCTGCTTTGTCCTCTCCAAGCCAACGGATATTAAGTGTCTTGCTTTGACAACTGTTTATAAATACTTGTATCTTTTTCAATGATGACTGTAGTAGTTCTAGATCTGAATAGATTTTCCACTAGTTGTTCTATTACTTGATGAAAATTGTAAATAATTTCAGACGCTTCTCATCACAGCAACCGACTTATTGGCTCTTACGCTTATTGAATCACCTGGTAGTCTAGGTGCTGATATAGCTGTTGGATCTTCACAACGTTTCGGAATACCAATGGGTTTTGGAGGACCCCATGCAGCATTTATTTCGTCAACTGAAGCACTTACCAGATTATTACCAGGAAGAATAGTTGGTCTTTCCAAGTAAGTTGTTCATAATTAAAAAAGTAACTATCTAAAAGTAGTATTTGTTTCTTAAAGTCACTTACGCCTGTTAAGCCTCGTGGAGGAGCATAAGCCGCCCACCAGGATTCTCCATCAAAATCTGACCTGGGCATGGAAAAGTGCTATTCTCAGCTTTTTATCAAAATACACCCATGAGTGAGACAGAAATGTTTATTATTCTTACTGAACTTATTGCAGTGGATCGATGGCTTACTTTTGATTCTTTAGTAGCTATTTCTGTAATTCTATGTACGATTCATTTGTGTATACAAAGTTAGTTTTAAAATGAAAAAAATTCATGCTTTTTATTACCAGAGAATGAGGTGTGGTTAAAATAAAACGATTAGTTAAATAGTTTTGTAACATTTATTTAACGAATCAACCTTGTAAACAATATACTTCTCCGGAACATTTGATATCTCATAAGATTATAGTTCTATTCATATCATTGTTTTTCCATCAGCTACAGTATATGCAAAATAATTTGAAATGCCCTCATTTCAGAAGTTCATGATTATATTGTATTCCATTTAAATGAAGTTAACAATATTTTTTGAATAATGAAAATTAAATGTTTAATCTGATGAGAAATTGAAGATATTTAAAGGTGGTTTTATGGAGACTTTTGTATATGCTAAAGTTAATATTTATCATGAGTCGACTTCATTTAGAAAACCTCTAAGAACCAGAAAGTTTCAGACACTTGTTTCATCTTAGCCTAGGACTCCGTAGCAGCTCACAAACGAGACGTCACTTGAATTTCAAAAGACAACCTTGAATTCTCGCTGTCATCATGATGTATTCAGATAATTGAGGAAAAATACAGTTATCCACGTTTTCGACATCGGTTATCTGTGATAAAAGAGGACCTTACTCAATGTCATCAGTGTGTCCCAATTTCGATTTCAACTTGATGGTCATTAGAATTTTGAAAGTTACCATTGTTCATTCAATTGTCATCAAGTAGTAGTGAAAATTACTTTTAAAACTACGCAAATATTACTCACGTATGACATTTTAACAGTTGAAGATATTTTCTTACTCAAAATATCAAGATTAACAAAGTGTGTAAAATCTTAGTTTCATAAGTACATTACCACTAAAATCCTATCTATGGAATATAAGTTGATGAAGACATTTTAAGATCGGCGTTCTTAACCATGTTGTAAAGGTTTAAACTTCCTTAATCTGCTGTCTTCGTGTTAGTCCAAAGCGTCGACTAAAGTTAATAGTGCAAATCATACTGTGCTGTCATCAATATAGTATTGAAAAGTATAAATTTGCAGGAAAAAGTACTGTCCAATCTTTTTATTTACTCATTGAAGATTTTCCCTCATATGAACGGCCGTTATAATTGTTTTATTGTGATCTATACTAACCTACAAGAGATTATTCCTACCAAATAAGGAATTTTCGAATAATCCTGGACCATCTAGATTTCCGAGTGGTTTTGTAGCGTCTGTAAAACAAATTATACCGCCGAAATACTTTTTATCTTTTTTCAAAAATCCATGAATAAACGAGCTGTGTCTAAATATGTGATGATGTATGGTATAGAGATTCATTTTCCGATAATATGTAATGTATATAAATTCAAAAAAGATGGTTCGTGTACAAATATGCTCATTTTGTCGAATCGAAATTAAGTTCACAAAAAATCCCTATGTCTTACCAGAATGAGTCTATCTTTTTAGGCATTCAGAAATTTCCGTTACGAGTTTGAAGCAATTTTAGTGTCATAAATTATGCTCCATAATATAAACTTTGATAGGAATATTAAATTGTCTTGATATATCACAGGTGTCTGGTGTGTTCCAAGAAAGTTAGGGGGTTTAAAAAAGCTCCATATCATGTAGTCAGGGTGTAATAAAATCATGTATTAACTGAAATTCATATAATAGTTTTGATTCGGAAATAAAAAATAACGATCATTGACTAAACACCGGATGCCAGTTGAATAAAAAAAGTGGTATATGTATGATAAACAATTTTCGTATGATACTAATAAGAAGTTCTTCAAACTAAAATACTGTTTCTGTAGTTCTGAAAGACCTTAGATCTACTTGAACAGATACTATGACTAATGTGCAATGATGTTAGTCATAGACATGAATGGAAGTTTATTTCCTTCTGCTAACTAGGATTATATTTTTGAGTGTTATTTTATATGACTCAGTCAATGTCAGATAAAGTAATCAGTTTTACGTATTTCAATTACAGGGATGCGATGAGCCAACCTGCGTATCGACTTGCCTTACAAACGCGGGAACAACATATTCGTAGAGATAAAGCCACAAGTAACATCTGCACAGCTCAAGCATTACTTGCTAATATGGCTGCTTTCTATGCTGTTTATCATGGTCCGAAAGGATTAAAGCAAGTAGCTTCACGTATCCATAGAAATACTTTACGTTTAGTATCAGCTCTAGAAAATGCTGGTTATAAGGTTAGTTAAAATCTTATGAGACTCATAAAAAGTACGTTAAAAGGTTTTAATTATTGTTTTGCTCATGGGGACTTGGGAAATTAACTTAAATTAATTGTGGATAAAGATTAACATTTCAAGATAAATTGTTACATGGCTGTACTCTATTTCACTTAAGGTTTTCAATACTCAGCTCCTTGAAGTGCTTATGAACAGTAGATACTCACCCAAAAGAGACTTTACGACGAAAGTTTACTAACAGTTTCTCAATTCCTTCTGAGCCATACCAAATATGAATGATGACTTTTCTTATGATCATTCATCATAAAGAGTAGATGTCAATTTCTAATCATATTTATTGTTAACTAGTCTCCTTATTCAGTACAGCTTCACAATGTTTCCTAACTTGTTTGCAGGAAGATATGTGAAGATTGTATAGTATGAGCCTAATTTTCGCCACGGGTTAACATCATCACGAAAACATTGAAATACTCAATTATGTTCCAAAAGTCTACATTTCAAACACCAGCGACTTCACAAAATTTTCTCTGTAAAGCGAGTAGGCTGATATTAGGAGTTTGGAGTTTTGGGTTCTTATTCGCTCGATCGAGCTGTGACACCCCGCCTCAATAAAATACTAGTTCTTAGTCTGATCTCTAGCGACACTATAAGTGGTAACTTGTTGGAAGTCCAACTCTTAAATGAAACAGTTATCCAGTGCAGACTGGTTTTCAATAGTTCTCTATTTGATGTCAATTTATGACGTAAACAAACTTCATCCACTAAATTTGGTAACAGCTTAGTGACCGGAAATAATAAGTATTCTTGCCTTTTAAACTTTTCTGAATGGTCAAAATGCTATCTCTCTGTACAACTAAATTTTACGTAAAGGGATTTTTTTTTTCGTTGAATTTTAGTCAAGACTATATTTCTATTAGACAATATGAATACAAGAGAAATATTTTTATGATATTGTGTTAATGTGAATGTACATAAATTACTCAGCAACAACTTATAGACTCGGAAGTAGAGTCAGAGTATTCTACATTCTAGAATATTCAAACATTTGCTATTATAAATTTTTAAGGTCATAAAACACTTGAACTTCAATTTATTCCTATAACTTATAACTAATTAACGGTTTTAGCAGAATAATAGAGGCCACAACAACGCTTCACTACCATTCGTTTCCCGTGACATGTGACCACCATAATTATTTGTTGTCACAGTGAATGCATCACATTTGGTCCTTAATTTTACTCATACAAACTGCTATTAACAACAAGTGGTAAAAGTACTTTTGATTGTATTTATCTACAGTGATAAGCTATTATAGATCAACAGTAAAGTCTCTGTGTATTGCCAAAACATTTATAGTTCTTAGTGCACTATAAGATTAAAGCACTTTCCAAACAGATAAATACATAAAAACAAAATAAATTCCTCTGTAAGTACGAAAATCGGACGGTCAACTGTTTGGAATGATATATGGCTAAAAGGTTTTACCATACCATCACTGGTTACATATAACTTGAGATGGAAAGTTAGCTAAAATCTTTAAAATTAAGCAATCAACATATAAATAAGTGTAACAAGAAACTAGTATTATTCTTCATACACATTTCTATGCAAGGGGTGTATTCACATCTATAATTATTCACCTGTTTATTTACTTTACATGTGAACCAATCGTAGATTGCCAATCAGACTGCGGTATTTGATACAATCAAAGTATTACCAAATTCTAAACAAAATTGTCTTCAGTCTATTCAAAGAAAAGCATTCGAAAAACGAGTAAATCTCTTATACTATCCAAATGGTGGGGCAGTAAGTTGATTTCAGAATTAACTTTTATACACCTTATTTCCCTTATTTTTTAAGGCTATAAGCTACGAATTATAGTTGTACGCCTTCAGAGCGTCCAAAATATAACAACTGGAAAAATCCTAAGAAATTGTCTGACAGAAGTTCACTTTATTATGAATAGAACTGCTTTTTAAATATAACAAAATTTGTTACAATAAAAATCTGTCGCTGAACTCTGGCACATTCTTCTTTCAACTATACACATATAATACTGTTCACATCAAAGAATTGTCATCATATAATCCATTGGCATCAGTTGTAGACAAATAGCCATTTGATAAATAAGTAAGTCGAGGAAAAAGGAGGAGAAGTGAGAAAGTAAATCATCAAGACCAGATCCTGGTGATCGGTTTTGAAATAACTAGGTTGAATATGAAAGTCCAGAAGATAACTACAAGAAGATAGTTGATAATTCAGTTAAGAAAATTTGGAGTGATGAGAAAATCTCAAATAGTTTCAAAAAGACTACAGATTGTTTTAGAAGAGATAATAAGCGTAGCTGGATATCCATAATAAAAATATCATTATAATATCGTGTCAATATTCGAATTTGTTTTTGTATGATTGCTTTCTAAGTTAAATTTTTCAATGTGTTAATCTTCTGTTGGACATAAATCATAACTTTCTAATGAAAAGTCTTTCAACCTTATTCTTCAAGAGTTTTGTAAGGATTAACAACTTCAGATGTAAAAGTATAAGTTTTTGTTGTAAGTAAGCCGGATTACAAAAAATAAAATTGTATCCATTTTCAGTGACGAAAGCAGATTTATGACTGATGTTGATTCTGATGGATTACATAAATTAGAAAAGAAAGTCGAATGGAATTTTGTGAAATCAGCTAACACGAAATAAATTTTAATTAGGCTCAACAATAAATTACCGAGTTCAACAGCTTTTCAAACGACTTTTTGTACAGTATGTTTGTTTCTTCCAGTTCTGGATGATAATCCTTTATTTACTAAGCTCCTAATTCATTTCAAATCGAAAGAGACTTGTTTTCAACTAGGTACATTGTATCGGATAAATTAAAATTGGTTTACTTATTTGGTGTTGAGACTACATCATTTATGTCTCAATCAACAAACCAATTAGTCGATTATACAATAACTGATTTATATGTGCTAGAAGGATTTATATGCATGATTTCGAACTCTCTCATTTCCGAATTTTTTTCCTCTCAGTCGACACAGTGCCATAAACCAGAGTTTTCTGCGTATTGGTGCTCATCATAAAAAGTGTAACTGTAACAACAAGAAAGTTTTTAGCTCTTCGTTAACCTAAAATAGTTAAAAGTATGGTCCGAGGCATCAAAACTGACCTGTTCAAAATGCATTTAACTTCATATACAGAACTAGATTGTATGCGTGTTATTTCTTAAGTTTAAATATTCAGTGCTTCAGATAAATTCCAAACATGCAAAATGAAGTATCAAACATTAGACTTTTTGTTTGGTTTATTATTATCGATCTCGGTTTTTTTTTTAATTGGATGTTTACAAAAGGAAATGAAATGTATTCGAGTTGATCACTTTAAATTATACCTAAATTTATTAAATAGTCTATCTATTATCCAGGTTGGTTTATCAATAGATGAAACTCTAACTGTTGAAGATTTTAACGACCTAATGTACCTTTTCGGAGCAACTTCAGTGAAGCCTCAGGTAACCTAATTTGCTTAAGATTTTGCAAGATTGTTTTTAAAATTCCGATCCACTATTATTTATGATCACAAAGTTGTTTTCGGTTAATATGCATTCATATTTTAGTCAGGGCTAACTATTTGATTTTAAAAGAGTTATAAAGCTTCAATTGTTAAGACTAGTAGTTTATTCATATGAATTTTTCCTGAATTCTAGCTTAGTTTTATTGTGACGAACTACTGACAGTTTCCTACATACCAAAGCATTTGCTAGTCAAAGTTTAATCTTTGTGTATGTTAACCCTCGAATTTTCGCCTGATGGTTTATTTATAAAGATCTACTTTAAATTCGGCGTCTTTGTACCTGTAGTTGACATTTATTTCATTACACAATACCATTATTTAATTCGTCTAAAACACGTTTTCTACTCAAGTTTACCACGAAAAAAGCAAATGATAAGAAATAATCTGCAATTAATAACTCATTTAATATTAAAAGGATTCAATAGAATTGCCTTTATCTTTAATTAATGGTTGCTTTTGACCACTATACATTTAATTGCAAGAAAGATTGAGTTAAAACTGATTGTGTATCGTTCTAAGTAACTATATGAAAACGTTGCTATCACTTCGAAAAAAGATTATTTAGGCAATACTGATTTGATAAAGATACTTATCAGAAAACCTAGCAAAAGTCATTATAACGAAATTATATTTACTGATCAATGCTATACATAGTTACAAAGATCATTACATTTTCATGATTTTCACTATTGATTTCAGAGAACGGTTCATTTTGAGGTACAATTTTTGCATAATTTATAGCATATCTGCTCAATTAGCTCCTCAACAAACACTTTTGAATTGGGTAATCAAAGGATTTAGTTGTGAAACTATTACTTTATTCACAAGGCCTTGGTGTGTTTTATATGTAGAATATATAGTTTATATTGTCTTTGTTTTATTAAATGTACACATTTATTTTTTAGGAACATTCAATTTTCGCTATTAACACATATCCTAATTTGATACGTAAAACTAGCTATTTAACACATCCTGTATTCAATTCATTTCATTCGGAGACTGAATTATTACGATATATGAAAAAGCTCGAGAATAAAGATATTTCTTTAGCACATTCTATGATACCGTTAGGCTCTTGCACTATGAAATTAAATGGTACTACTGAACTACTTGTAAGTGAACGGGAAATATTCTGTCTGTGATTGTATGAAGTTGTTATATTTTCTTCATTTTTCGATTTTCGCCTATTTCATTTTGGATAACATTAATTAATTTAAAACATATCTTTAGCCGAGTCATCTTTAAGATGTAAGAGTGAAAATACCTAACACTTATAATACATGGACAATTTATATTTTCCAACGAGCTCAAAGAACGGTACGATAATGCAGATCGATGTAAATAGTCAGCCGAACATTAATCAAAAACTTCACGAAACAAACAATCACAAGTTTAACATAATAATCATTTCATATAAAATTTAGAAGTTAAATTGCCCTCCAAACTCAATCCATTGGGAGAGAGAAACAGGATGAGTTGTGAGGGGAGATGAATAAAAAAAGTATAATAAAAAAGCAGTTGAAGATGGTTATCGAAATAAGAAATAGTTAAATCAAATTTTAAGTTTCCGATAACTATAATGGCCTGTATCTTCTACGTAATGCATTTCGATATGGAACAATAATCCTAAAATTTTAGAATATTGTTTGTGTATCTGAGAAACATCAAATACACGCGCAAGTTTTGGCAAACGAAAACATATTTTAAAATTTACATTGAAAAGGAGCACAGAGTACAGATGAAATAACACGTTTGACTATTTCGCGTTCGCTGACAACTAATTTAAAAATTACTATCTCATATTGGCAGTAGACAAGAAGAAAACTGTTGACAATTCATAAAATACTACATGAATTACACTGATATAATTTAAAACTGTGATTTTTTATTTATTTATAATGCATTTCTTTTTTAAAGTATTAGCTGAGCTTCACGCATACTTTTGATCGATTACTCTGGATAAGAATCTGCCTAGTAAGAATATTTAAATACTTATCTATATATCTGTGTAGGGTTGTGGAGATTGTTAAATTTTTCATTGTGATCATCAATCGAAAAATGTTAAGCGTTCGCGCGCGGGATCATGGATACGTACTGCTGAGGAGTCCCATACTAGAACGAAACGGCCTTCCAGTGCTTCCAGATCTTCGATGGTGGTCTAACATCAATCGATTCATGATCTTAGTCAAAAACTTGTCTAAATCTTTTCCAGAAAAATACATTCTAATAATTGATAATATTCGGTTCATGCAAAGCCTATTTCAACCTTCTGATGTTTTGATGCGACTCAAATAGTGTATTGTATCTAGTAAAATTTTTAATATCGCCTGTCAGTGAATCGAAGTACTGACTTATTCTTGTGAAAGCTGTTAACATTTACTGTACAAACAGTTATATGTGTTCTTGATAAACATAATTTACCTATCTCAGTAAATTCATATAGCCGAAACCGAATCTATAATCATAAGAGTATACTTTAAGGAATATAAAGCTAATTTTTGTCTAAATATCAACACCCCGGTCTCATAATAGCCGCTTTGTGCTTTTTAACTAAATTGTGTGTTAAATTGCAACTAAATAAAATCAACAATTTCTATAACTGAAAAATCACTCTGAAGTCTCTCTTTAAACTTAATAAGTATTAGCCTGAAAATACAAACATATTTTTAAAACTGTAATCTATGAAAATTGTGCAAATCGGAGTAGCTATAGAACTTGGAATATTACATTGTTGGTTAACTGATGCCCTGGTACAGCCGAGAGTGGGGAGAGTCCGCTCTCCCTCTTGAAATGCTCTCACACGGCCTCGCGTATATAGCTTCTGCCAGGGAAGTCCTACTCATTGCCTTCTCGTGGCGGGGGTGTTGTTTACGAAAATGAGAGGACGAAAAGCGAATGTCCGGCGCTTTAACCGGATTCCAAACCAATGGTGCACATGGGCTCCAGTATCCTGCGGGAACAAATGGCGAATGAACCAATTGTTGGTCACCGGCTTCCATGGGACTGCATCTCCTTACGATGCTCCACTACCTTGTGGATCAGACGCTCAAGTCGATGGCTCGGGGTGTGGCCCCCTAAGAAAACCACCTGCTTCGGTCTGGGCACCCGGGCAGTATCACAGCCCTCACACATATCGAATGAGATTTGTGTGGCGCATATGTATTTGGTGCCTCTTTGTACCAATATCTATGTGTTGAAATAAATAAATAAATAAACTGATGAAAAATACAGGGAAAAGCTGCAAATTTGATAGAATTTTTGTGACCATCAAAACTTTGTGGTGCAGACGGATAATTTGGATATGTTAACTATTTGAAATGTGCAGAAAAATCAACTTTTCAAGAAACATACCTAACGGAACACGTCGTGTGTTAAAGGACGCATATTGATTACTTTATCTATTTGCAACTAATAGGCTTGCTCATGGGATAATGTCAACAAGTTGCATCCTTTCGTACCGAAAAATCAAGTTACTGGTTATTTGGAATTGATTGCACAACTAGAAAATGACATCAAAGAGATAACTGGCTATGATTATGTTTCTCTTGCACCGAATAGTGGAGCACAGGGTGAGTACGCTGGGTTAAAAGCTATCAGAGGATATTTGGATAGAAAAGGTGAACATAAACGTACAGTAAGTGATTATGGTTCTTATATTTATTTTGAGCTGAGTTATAAACATTTTTCGTAAAAGAGGCTGAACAAACCTTTTATTCGGGTTACTTATTGTCCAGTAATCAATTTGCAAGAGTTGTGTGGAGTTCGATGTAATGACTGTTGTTAACTTTCACTCTGATTGATTTTCAGTAACTAGTTGACTATTGTCAGATGCTAACTAGGTACATATTGAGGCAACCTCGCAGAATCGAGAGGAACAAAGCACCATTAGACTTTTAGAGGGTTTCGAGCTTAAACACCTAACTGTTTATTTTTGAATCAAGTTCTTTAAAGTCATTTATAGTTAGGGACACATTTTTCATGTTGTTGCGTGACTTATTTCGTTAAACTCTTCACCATGTACAATTTAAAATACTCCATTAAACATATTGAGCTATCTCACTGTTTGATATAATTACTTGATTCACTAGATCTTTTATAATTAGTTCATGCTGATTCATGTATGTACAAATATTTTATCCATATGTTATTACTATCACTGAGCCAAATGTATTCCGTTTGAACTGAAGAAACTATGTCTCTATGTTGAATTAATTCTAGTGGATATATTCTTTACTGTTTTATTAGCTGTATTATACCATCAGTGTGAATCGCAACCGTAACACCGTCTGTCTTTAGAAATAAAATCAATTTAGCAAAGTTTGATCTAAATCCTATTTATTTAATGTTAAGTTTATTTGTCTCGATTGGCAGCAATATTATGAAATGTCATGAAATATCCGAGAAAGAGAATGTCTTGCTTAAATATATATTTTTTCCTCAGACTTAAGAAATGACTCATTATATGTGAAAATTATATTTGAAATATTCTCAGCGATTGAAATTTAACTAATTCCAACGTTTCGTTCAGCTAACTTGTCTGGACTTCTTCAGGGTAATAATCAAAATCAAAATTACCAAAGAAATATATAGCTTTTAACAATCAGGATTATACTGTGTTAAACCAATCATATTTGGATGTTGATTTTTTTGTAAAACATTATATAAGAGTGTATTTTAGAGCGAATAACACATTAAGATCGACATTAGTGAAAGTTAAGGACAAGTTAGCAAAGGATGAACAACAGAACATTGTGTATGAGGTTCACTGTCATGACTGTAATGCTACCTATGTTGGAGACACATCCAGGCAATTGAATTTAAGATTGAAGGAACACAAACAATGCTTGAAATATGTTCCCAAATCCTCGGTTGATTTAAAGAAACTTGAAAATAAGTCGGCGACAGCGTTACATGCGTTAGAAACAGGACACAGGATTAATTTTGAAGGGACCAAAATACTTCAGAAAGGTTTTAACACCCATAAAGAAAGATTGACAGCAGAAGCGCTGCATATGTGGGCGAACAAGAACGGCCTGAACCGAAAATATGTTATTCAACTGGCAACTACCTGGCAGATTTCGTTTGATAAATAAATTTGGAACCTATCTCTTGTTTAAACCTGTTTTTTAATATAACATGCATCGTTATTATTTTTGAAAGAATTCAATGAGCTTTTTAAACAATACAATTTATGTTTTGACATGTACATCGATATTTCATTATCAATTTTTCATCCTTGAACTTAAACTTTATTTATTCCTTCCTATCAATCTCTCACACATACATACGATTTGTTACTCAGTTAAGTATTTCCATATAGTTGAATCCTTCACATGATTTGCAGTTAACTGACTCTTTTTATCCTATTTTACAAAAAAATCAACATCCAAATATGATTGGTTTAACACAGTATAATCCTGATTGTTAAAAGCTATATATGTCTTTGATAATTTTGATTTTGATTATTACCCTGAAGAAGTCCAGACAAGTTAGCTGGACGAAACGTTGGAATTAGTTAAACTTCAATCGCTGAGAATATTTCAAATATAATTTTCACATATAATGACTTCTCTATACTCGGCGTTCAATTACTGTCAAACTATTCGTTCTTATCTTGATGAATATTAGTATAAATTAAGAAATGACTATTTCACGTTTGTCTACTTCGATTTTACAGACTACAATCGCTAACTAGTTACTAAATGCGTATTTTTATCTATTTGTTCAGTAATTCAAACAAATGATGAATGAGTAAAAAACATAATCTAAACATTGCTTTTCTGTTTGAAATACAGATCTGTTTAATCCCTACCTCAGCACATGGGACGAATCCTGCTAGTGCTCAAATGGCTGGAATGACTGTTAAACACGTGAAAACTACATCGACTGGTAGTCTAGACATGAACCATCTAGAAGAACAAACTTCTCTATATAAAGATCATTTAGCAGCCATTATGATCACCTATCCAAGTACATTTGGTGTATTTGATAGTAATGTTCAAAAAGTGTGTGAAATCGTTCACGAAGCTGGTGGACAGGTTTTTATGGATGGTGCCAATTTGAATGCACAGGTATTACCGCTTTATTTTAATAACTCTTAATGTTCATTTCTGCCAAATAACATATACCTCAATAAGTACTTTGTAAAAAAATCCACCGATTTTGCGAGTGATTTTTACCATGGTTTGGATTTTTGAGTGCGCTATCCTGAGGAGCCGTCAACTACAATAAAACAGATGTTCCTGGCTCCCTGATGTCCAACTGTAGCATAGAAATTCTTCACTTTAAAATTTTTAGAATCACGAAGAAATACAGAGCACCTTGCTGTCATATGTCTGAAATCACTGATTTTCGACTTTGTAGTACATAATATATTGCTCTTAATTGGGTCACTGACAACATGGTGATGTTGCTTAAATTCAGCATTGATAAGTAAGACTTTAAAATCAGGAGGAAACGATTAAAGTGTTACGGTTTCACCAATACGATATTAAATCATTAAACATCTGAAAAGATTTCAGACTTCATTTTAAAGAATATTATCAGATCTATTTATATCGACTTCACTTTATTTTCTTCGATATTTGAATCAATACACAAATTTTATTATTCTGAAGACATTTTGAGTAGGTTTTGAAATTTTCACACAGATTAAAACACACCGATTTCCGTACGAAAATCTAAAGAATAGATGTCGTTTTAACTCCTCTCTATTCAAGAAATACATATTAATTTTTAAATCAGATCAATATTAAAGCTAAGTAGGATTTGATTTGTATACAGATGAATTTTCAAATCAAGTCCCTATACTGTCGTACATAGAGTCTTGGCACGATTAGAGTCAAAACATGTAACTATATGTCAGTCAACAGTTATGATTTTATAAAACAAATTAATAAAATTAATACGACCAAGTAAAATACTGCAATCCAACTAGAAACGGAGCAATAAACACACGCTGGGTAATAGTAGGAGAGACACAACGAAAATAAACCGAAATCAAGGTTAATCATATTTATAGAAAAAAGAGGTCGGATTCAAAGATTGATAGTTAAATAAAAATAATATTAATAATCAGTTTGAGGTTAAGTGAGTCTTAAGTGTTGTCCGTCTATTTTGAATATAATCGATCGAAGTTAACACCTTGTCCCGATTTTTAATTCTGAAAGGTTATCATAACTACAAACCTGTTTCAGAAACGTTTCCCGATTTCACGTGAATGAAGTGTTCTACATATATTGTTCACTGTGAACTTCAATAAATAGAAAACTAAATATTTCAATTCACCAAGAAAAAAACGGTTTTTAAATATTCTGCAACACATTAACTTAATCACTGGAGGTGTTTTATTGGCAAGATCGTTGTATAGGTTGGTGATGGCAGTCTGTTTTAATCTAAAATCATTAAGAGTTTACACATAGTCTAACAATAATCGTTACATTTTGCTTGACGACCTGAAATCTACATGTCTTATGTGGCCTTATATCTGACTCCAATTAAATCATATTATGATTTTTATCGAAATATACATTCCGGCTACCCTCGTATATAATCATAGCCTTAAATCGCGTTAGTGAATAACGGAATTAAATAAGTTAAATGCCAGAATGGATTTTGAGTACGTATATTTCATACAATCGTTGGTCTCAATAGACAATTAGGGAAACGCAACCAAGGTAGGGAAGCAAAATGAAACAATACTCAGTGCAGAAGACGAGTGAACCAGCTCCATTTAACCAAGCATGACTCGATATTTATAGTCAAACAAAAATAGGTTACAGATATGTAGTGAGAAGGGTAAGGAATTAACACACACGCTCATATAAAACAGTCAAGGTTAATAAGCGAATGATTCGCAAGGTCAAAATGTGACCCAAGAAGAATGAATAAATTGGTCTGTCTGGAAGTTAGAATAACTCATATGGGCATGACTTAGTACCAGCCTCTATATGTCAATTGATGTTTATTACAATTTTGTCTGACTATACACTTAAATTTTAATTAAAGAATTTTTAAATAAGGGGGTATCAGTATTCAAACGTGAGTATTGTATAGATATTCATTTCAATAAAAATTTATTGTCGTGATATCGGTTCACTGTTTGGTAATCCTCTAAAAATCCAGGCTGTATTTATAACCTAGATCTATAAGTTGGTATTATTATTACTATTATGGACAGAGCGAAATAGTCGTGGAATCCCCTCTTCGTACGTCGATTCATTGAAACATTCCTATAATGACGTCTCAAAAAAGAAACAATTAATATTAATGAGATGATTTTCCATGGGTTAAAAATCAGAATAGGAATCTGAAGACAAGAGAATCAGTGAGTAATAATAAATGTTCTTTAGTAATTTTGAACTTGTTTGCCGTTTCGCGAAATGACTGATATCAAACAAACGTCGAGGACAACGCACTTGTGTCACCTTTCGTAGGGTGAACTATGCAAACAATTTAAGGAAGATAAGATCGCTTCTTTGCTCACACTTAAATGTGAGCAGTGTTTCAGGTAGGTCGTGTCCTAATATATATATATATATATATATATATATATATATATATATATATATATATATATATATATATATATATATTGTAGAGAATAGGAAGGTGTTTTTCCTTTATTCTTCAAAATTAACTAGGTCGGCTTATGTCGCCCTGCTGATATCGGTTCAGATGTTTCGCACATAAATTTACACAAAACATTCAGTATTCCACACGGTGGAGGTGGTCCTGGTTGTGGCCCTGTTTGTGCCAAGTCGCACTTAGCTCCATTTCTTCCCCAGCATTATTTATACGATCATACTTGTGTGAGTCGTTCTGGTCACAAAATGAACACCGAAAATAAATCTTCTGATCATTTCGCAATTTGTTCTGCTCCATTTGGTTCCGCAAGCTTATTACCAATATCATGGGCGTATATGAGGCTGTTAGGCCCGAAAGGTAGATGTTTCTATTCAGGTTTCTTTTTTATCTTTTGTTTTGTATTGGAATTCACTCTGTACAAAAAGGATGAAAGTAATCCCTTCCATATTTGATCAAAATCATCATGAATTTTACGAGACCACGTGAATCAATTAATGATAATAAATTGATAGCTTTAAGGTGAGAAAGGAATTTAAGATTTCAAACGCAACATTGAAGTATGGGGCTTGTTAAACTATTCGTACATTGAATTTAAAGTGTTAGTCACATGAATAACTTTTTTATTGATTCTTTCCAACTATGTAATAGCGAGTGACTTGAACCTGAATGATTTACGCTAGGAAATATACAGCGAACTTATACGAATTCATTAATACTATAGATTAAACAATATGATATTAGCAGCACTCCAACATTGTTTAATTATTTAATTGGGAATGATCTACTACAAATTGCAGGATAGTTGATCACAAAATAAAGTTCAGTACACATAAATTGTATGGGAATTAAAAGAAGATATACATTTAGGTGACAATGGTTTCTTACAACAGTTACGACTTTATTTTATATTATTCAGGATTGTTGCGATTTCATATGAATCTTGGTAATTACCAGTCAAAACTACTCTCTTAGTTATTTCCAAAGAACGATCCAGCTGTCCTGACGTTTATGGTTTGGTTTTTCTTGAAAATAAGTGGCTGAATTTTTTTTGATTATATTATTTATAGGCTCTTAAGATTTCAAACTCGGCTTTGAAAGTTGCACTCCAACTGATCACATGTTGATGGATAGGAATGAATATTGCCAACTTTTTTGAGAAAGTTTTTATTTGTGATGCTTATCAGGGTAGTGTAAGATGAAGGTTATAGAAAGTGTGAACGTAACAGTTAGCATTTTGCGAAGTGATATAACTTTCTTTTCAAATACGGGCAAATAAATAACTGCTATTGTCTTTACAGGTTTGAAGAGAGCAAGTCAGACGGCTTTGTTAAATGCTAATTATATGCTCAAGCGTCTCCGAGATTATTATAATATACGCTATGTAAACAGCGCGGGGATGTGTGCACATGAATTTATAATAGACTGTTCACAATTCTCTAAACAGAATATTGATGTGATTGATATTGCAAAACGACTAATGGATTATGGTATGTATCATGAACTAGGTTTTGAATTTTTTTCCTTATTTTAACCAGGATTAGCAATTGCTTTCAGATACGGAATTCGAGAAAATAACTAGGTCTTTGTTATGATAAAGTCGCTTTATGCATTTAGTGCCAACGATAGTGGCATTGTAACCTCATTGAGAATAAATAGCTATGTCCGGCGTTGGAAGGTAGTTTGTCTCACTTTTATACAGGATTAGGTGTTTTCAGATAAAGCCTATTTTGTTCTCAATTTTACAACGGTTTCTTGCACCTAGGATTCCACTTCAAACGATTCCCCATAATAAAAAGTTGAAGTAGATTAAGAATTAGCTGGTAACACGAATAAGCACTTGCTCCTGTCAAGATATCAGAAGTGCATTGAAAGGGATACAGTAGGTGATTATTATAAGTTTCAGCCTATCGAGTGGTATATCTCCATTATATTTTAATGCCTTTATAATCTAGTAAAAATATTCATGAATCTCCTGGTCAGTAATTAAAAGTTCACCACAATTGTCGAGTTTCTACAGAATACTAGAACTTCGACCACTTCTTTATACACCGAGTTTCACTAACCCCTAATAATCAGTAATCTGAAATCACATCGAAATCATCTACCTGAGCTATAAATATTCTCCACCATCTTACATTCCGTCTTATTATCTATTGACTTATCAAGGCAATAATCTTGTAAATAATAAGTATAATTGTCAAGATTAAAAGAAAATATTTGATGTGCTCGTCTCAAAATCTTCGATATTTAGGACAGATAAATACTGAAGCAATACCAGTTTACTAACAAGTTGAAGATCTTCTGCAGCATTTTTATTATCTATTTCTACTGAAAAAATTAGTGTATTTGCAAGTAAATTTAAATGACCCAATTTTTTATTACCCGAAAATTTTATAAATAAATCCACTGAACATGATTGAGGTTATGGCGATTCGACTGTGCGATTGCGGAAACCACCAATCATTTGGAACTGATTTCATCTTAATAATGAAATTTTGGCCTACCTAAAGTCCGTATTAAGCTTATCATTACTGTGTACAGCTACTTATATCAGTCACTAGTGGATAATTGACTGTACAAAATTTGTAAATTCTTCTTAATTTAGACCCCTCAGCTACTATATCTCACTGTGACATCTTAACAGTTTTCTAGTAATTTGATTTAATAATCCCATGATGAGTAGTATTTTTATGTTTATTATCTTCAATCCACATATACCAGACTTTATACCTACTATTTCTGTACCTAGTAGAAATGGGAAGTCAGCCGAAAAAAGCTATGAGAAGATAAAAATGGAAATTCAAGGCGGTATAGCCAATCGTTAAATTTAAATTTTGACAAAATTCTTACTTTTTATGTGCCATAGTTTATTTCACGAATGATAATTAAGTCAACATAAATAGATATTGATTTAGTATCTGAACTTGGATGATTAAGTTGTTGCCTTAAGCGACTCCGCAATTTTTTCCTATTGATCTCTTATTTTCGAGCATAAAGTAGGCAGATCATTGCAATAATTAGAGAAGGAACCTAACTTGGAATATTTTTGGTTACCTAAATGGTTCTCAGTTCTGCTTCGATTTGTATATAAACAATATTGATACAACAAGCATTGGTTTACTCAACTGCCGAACAAACTGAATATGACAATATTGTGAAATTCATGATAAACAAGTTATCTTTTTTTCTCACATTACTTTTGAAACCAAACAAATGGAGGTTTCCACAGCCCAACTATGTCATGGCCTGTGACATCAAGTCTAATGATTGAACCCACAGAGAGTGAACCTAAAGCTGAGTGCGACCGTTTATGTGAAGCACTTATTTCGATCAGAGGAGAGATTGACAAGGTGACCAAAGGAGAGTGGGATATCGAATGTAATCCATTAAAAATGGCTCCGCATACTATGGAAGTAAGTATCCAAAATATCTATTCGTCTAATTTTAAACTTACTATCGTGACAAACCTTTAAAAATCCACCTCAATGCACAAGCCAGTAGCTATCCAGAATCAGTAGCTAAGTGGATAACGCGATGACGTCTGAAGAGAACGGTACCGGGTCCAACTCTCGAAGTAAATACCAACTGTTGGGTGCAGGTAAATCCAGCTGACGTGTCTCATACAGGATTCCACTGCTACCCACCATCCATCTCTGAGCGAAATATTATTTTTAGAGCTTCTAAAATTAGCCCTTTCAGGTGACTTCACATTAGCGATTGCAGGAAATGATACGTTAGGTAATAGGTACCCTATAATTCCTGGTTGTAAAAATGATATGAACTTATTAGAAACTTTTTAGGACAGAATCAGTCTGTAGTTATCAAGTATTGGGTTGAGTCGTTTAGAATGCACAGATTTCGTCTGTGGGTTCGCCAGAAATCAAAGGTTGTAAACTGTAAGTGGCATGGGTCGTTATCAACAAAATCAAAATCCCAAACATTTCCATCCCCTTTTTTGATCCATTTTCTGGTTTTAAGGTTGAGAAATGACGCAACCTATGCAATCTTTCGCTCAATAGTATTCATCAAGATGAGTTGGAGATTTCATATAAATACTTATCCGTACATTGAAAATTGTTATGGGGATCACAGATAAAAAGATTAAAGTTTTAAGTTATGAAATATGTTCCTGTAAAAATTCATATGAACAACTACAAGCAAAAGCTTGTGTATGATATAGGTGGCTTATTCTGCTACGAAGGACCGAAATTTATGGTGTCACTTAATCCTCCTAAAACACTCAGGTTGCTGCTTCTGCAATAAAGGATGAAATTAGTTTAGAAATACATATCGTGTAGCATTTTTTATCCAAGTTCGAATTCATGGCTCAATGCCTGGAAGCGGTTTTCCCAATAATTAATTAATGCACTATTACCTATTTCAGACAGTAATGGATTCAAAGTGGGACAGGCCATATACACGCCAAGTGGCAGCATTTCCAGCCCCATGGCAAAATATGAAAGATGAATCAGTAAGTAAACGTTCAAAATTGTGGCCAACTGTAAGTCGGTTAGATGATGTATACGGTGATCAACACTTGGTATGTACGTGCTCTTCACTTCTGGAAAATGAAACCAACTCCAAACTCTAATTTTGAATTAGCATTAAACTTCTAGTGAGGAAAATTCAAGATAATTCATGAAAATATTGAGCTTTTTTTAAAACCAATCGAATTTAAATCAGGGGTTTACTACTTTTAATAACTGGTTTTTTGTGTAGAAAAACGTGTAGCTGAAAAATAAAATGTTCCTGCTTAAAAATTTGGTTTCTACCACTACAGAACCCTAAAGATGGCAACTAAAGCTGGAAGCTTACCGTATAAATCCCTAGAATTTAAGTCTCAGTGATTGATACTAAAACGACTTCTCTACAAACTCAGGGGTTTTTCGGCATTTAACTCTAAAAAAGTTGAACACAGCATACTGTTTAAGCCACAAATAAATTACTGGTAACGTTCTGTCCATTTAAATAAATAATCAAGAAATTCCTGTCGAAAGTCTGACAACATCAATGCATAGAACTGCTTGATCTAGTGGTTATTATCGTATCCATTGGTCTATAAACAGGGGTGCTCGAGATGAGCGGTCGTTTGGTTGTTTTCATTCTCAAAGATGTATGCACAACACTCATCTATAATATTACCCCAGATTTATTTTTATCAACAAGGATTCACGTAGCCTTCCAGTGAGTTCTCTCTAGTGTTTGGTAGAATCTCATTTTCGATTCCACCTTGTCCGGTCGTTACATGGTCTTGTAAAAGAGCCAACTTCCCAAAAAACCCTTCCAATTGTTTATTACACATCACCCCCGTTGATTCACATTGCTATTCGACTTAGAATATATAACTTGTGCTCACTACAGAAGTTTACCGAATAATAAAATCCAGCTTAATGATAAACTGTCCGCTTTTCTGTTGTTCCGAAACAAAGTAATTCCAGATATACTGTGTGAATATGTGTACGCTACTAATTCTGAACATACAATCCTTAACAACTAGTTGGGACCTTTTACACTTATCAAAGTATGTGTAGTTGAAGTATCGTCGGTCATTACATAGGTGAGATTATGGATAGCACCAAAGAACTGAAAATAACTACTGGGTTACGATTTTAACGTTCACTTTTACGAGGACTAGTTGCAAGCCAGTAGATAAGTGGGACGGTCATTGACTATTGGACTGAGCCATATAAGTAGATGCAGATCGCTGTGTTGGTTCCGCGCAACTCCCATAACTAATGGTTAAGCTCTGGGCGACATGGCTCAGGAACGTATACAGCGCTGCAAGTACATTCACCTCCCCTTAGTTCCTAAACACCATATTCTTCTTTTACCTTTTTCATTCATTCTATGCCTAGTCGTTCCTATTATTGCGGGGTTTATTTTGAAATAATTTTGTCTCTGCTAGTATGGTGTGGTAATTTGAGGTTCAATGTCCTATATCAAATGACTGACTAGTAAACGAGAAATGATTCGATTTTTTGAGGTTTACCAGGAAAACAAATTACACTATTTATGTAAACCAGATTTTTTACTTCTGAAGGTGACTATGTGATATATACAAAACGGTTTAAAAACGCTTTTGACATAAGATGTACATCGCAAGAAAAAACTTACTCATTCTTATTAATTCTGATTCATGTGAATCCGAGAAAAAAGACTAGTTACCCGATTCTAACGGATCCAGAAAGTGATGCCGTAATCTTTTGCTTGGTGGCATACGCTTCCTGTGTGCGTCTATTTGATTCCCATTAACTTCATGTCACCTCAATCATGGCAAGATAATCTTATTGGTTTATATGCTCAACTCTCAGTAATACCATTTTTTAGAGCTAAAGGTACTATCGGTTATCCAAATTGAAAATAAGGTACGGTATGATCCTACCGATGTCAGTTGTTTATCATAACTTTCCAGGGCTAACTTTGTATACCACTGAATAAATTAGTAAGGACTGGACAAACATATTTTTAACGAATAAGAAGCGAACGAACTCTATATTTTGAAAGTGTGGTCAGATTTAGTTATTTTAATTAATTTCAATACCATGATGTTGTGGCCCATAGAAACTTAGCAGTAGTCAGAACAACTCGAGAACACCAGTAAGCCTTTTAAAATTCCAAACATTAATTTTGAAAACTTTATTGTAAACAGTATTTTTTACAGAAAACATGTAAAATGCATAAGAGCAGCGTAAAAAATCAACAACAAAAAGAGATACATATAAAAACCAAACGATATCGATCAGGCAGTTATGTCCTGACATTATGTAAGTTCGGTCGATAACTTACAAAAATATAGATGACGTACATCGATGTACAATAGACAAGAAATAACTTATAATCTTCTCATCACTGAGGAAGTTGGAAAGGAGCTGAAGACCGCATAAAAACAACTACGATTCCAACTCCGCAGAAAGACACAAGGTTCAAAAAAAGAACCGGATTATGATTTTAAAACGAAAGCATGGGACCTAGATCGTAACTGCTCGTCGAAGAATTCGGTAACACTTGGTAAATACAATAGCTATCACAAAACGAAATATAGTGCGGGAAGGAAGTAAATCTAATAAATAAATAGTCATTTAATCAACTTAAACGGTTGTAAGTAACAATTACAGAATAAGCTGAAGCGAATTTCGTACAAGTTAAATAAGAACAAAAAATGCCCAAATAGATTACTGTAAATCGGAAAGGCGAGCTATCCTCGAAAGACTTTAAAGCTAAAAATGCAATAAGTTGTAATCGGCTGATGGCGAAAAGTATGCTGCAATGCAATGTAAAACCAACGTACGTAAATGAAAATTAACTAGAACACGAAATCGATTTGTATAGTTCGAAGATTGTGGACTGCAAGAATACTGAACTAGGGAAGACTAGGTAGCTAAATCACTGATAAAAGTCTAACTACACGTAACAGTCTGTGTATCAACTCATATTTTGTCCATATAACAACGAATGTAGAAAGTCGACATCTGGGGAAACGACTTGATCATTACACAAGTCCTTGAATGTCGAACCTTCACATACCTGAAAAACTACATGCCAAGACATATATTCCACTTACCTTATCCATCTCATTTGGTACATTTACTCTGCAATCATCAAGGATACTTGTTTCTATCTCTGAAATGGAAGTTGTACCTAAACTTGGAATTGGATATATTTGCAGTTTTTCTTCATGCTTCTTTATATGCTGTAGCAAATAAGCACGAGAAGCATAGACTCGAGAACAGTAACAGCAGGTTAGAAGACTTGGATCGGTGTGTAACAAAGCATGGTTCTTCAACAAGTTAGGACGCGTGAACGTACGAGAACAAAATGAGCATTGGTATGGTGAGCACTTGGTGTGAATTATGCTGTGGCGTTCTAGTTCACTTTGATGAGCAAAGTTTTTTTTGCAGACTTTGCATGGCAGTAACTCTGAACGAAAATTATATTGATAAAAGCCAACATACTTTTAGGACTAAGCTTACAATGCTGTAATAGGTGTCGTTGCAAACTGATAATAAACAGAAATCCACGATCGCAGGTTTTGCACACAAAAGGTTTCCGTGTCTCTTCTAATTCGACATAGGCATGATGAGAGTCTAAATGCAATTTAAGATGACTTTTTTGAGCAAAATTCGCATTGCAAAGCTGGCAATAGTGTGGCATATAATCTACAAAGATCAACTAAAGAAATTACAAAACTTGCTTCGGTGCAATCTCTTATGAACAGCTAATGAATTGGTCGATGAGAAACCCTTTCCACAAACACTACAGGTGGGGCGATCAAAAATCTCGTGACGCCTGGAGATGTGACGCTGTAAATAAGAGGGCGACGAAAACGTAGCACGACAGTAAGGACAGGAATAGCTACCCTTGCATGTAAGTACATGAGAACCTATAGCATCCGATGCAAAGATCTGTTGACAAACTTTGCAAACAGCGGCCAAACGCTCTTTATGTTTTAAAGTTAGATGACCTATTAGTCCAGATTGAGAAGCACAGGAATGAGGACAAACAGGACACTTATGACCTGGCATTATTACACCAGGTTTACTATGTTTTTCAGAAAGCACCGTGTTGCCAGTATCCATCACTACTCGTGCTGTGGTCATAAATGAAAGATTGGAACCGATTAACAGCCTCTTAAGTAGTATTGCGTGCCTAAAATCAAAGAAATACACTTTAGTGGATGAGTGGAAAACTGGTCTGAAGGAATCTAACTTTTGATCGTTAATAACTACTCTCTACTTATAACGAGATACCTTTTAAAACATCTTATTTCTAGTGAGACAGTAATCGTAATCTTCATTAGAACTAAGTAAAGCATTTAGAGATAAAACACCGCAGTTGTGAATACAGGAATAAACAAAATAATTGCACAATTCAGTGACTCCACATAAACTATGTGAGGTTTTATTTGTTTGGACTGAGTGCAACCAGACAGGCGAACTTCACCTCAATATAATCAACTTAAGTAGATATTTTCTTCGTTATTAATAGTTCTTGACAAAACGTATAAAAAAATCGTCAGTGTTAGCCAGAATATTTTATAAGAACTTCAGCGTTTAGTAATACGAATAGTAGGTCGGTGGACATGTGTTAATCCTTGGAGCTTGTTTTCCACTGCAGGTGCAATTTCTCATTTAAAATGTTCACTGATGTGACTGATACCACTTGTTCAAGCAAGACGTTTGGGCCAATGACCACTCGATGAGAAAAATGGAGCCCCACTCAGTTTATTCGATCGCAGTTTTTGAACCTTCTTTCTATGACCTCGGAGATTAATTCTGGAGGGAGCAAAAAGATAAGACATTAACACCCTAACCAATATTAAACATTTACTATGCCAATATCAGGTGGGCTTGCATTCTATGATACGATAAGGAGAAAACAGGAGTTTTGAGCGCTCATCGTAAGGGATTCGGGAAATACCCTTCAATAACTTTATCCTCAAAGCAGAACACAATCATGTGTCAGCATTCTTCAGTCAGTCAGCTACAACGTAGGACCAAGCACATATGTGCATCGGTCCAAGTTGCCATACCTCATTAACACAAGATGGACATCAGATTCATGAAAGTAGTTAATTCAGAGATAGTGATATATAAAAAAATACTACATATAAGGATATAGTACAGAAAGGAAGAATTAGTTCGTAGAAAGAAAGATATGAAGCGATTTTAATCTCTTAATTTAAGGGAAGACAGAGAGTGTATACACCGACGCCATTGTGATCGATTCTGATCCATGTCACCAACCATTAGTTACGATAGTCACGCGGACCCAAACCAAGTAGTCTGCATCTACCAACATGGCTCAGACTACAAGTTAGTGACTTCAAGCACTAATGCCACGTTTTGGTTTGGCCGCCCCTAACTTTCTTCCAACCATTTCCAATACCGGATAGCATTGCACGTCGTGGTAATCGGTGTTCAGGCATACGTAGCACGTGGCCTAACCATCTCAATCGATGAAGATTCACAACCTCACCAACTGATTTACCATCATTCCCCAATACCCTGCGTCTAACCTCACTATTATTTACCCGGTGATCCCAGCAGACGCCAGCAATATTTCTAAGGCATCTGTGATCAAATACTAGTAGCTTACGAGTGTCTTCGACTCTTATTGGCCATGTTTCGCTGCCGTAAATTAAAACAGAACGGACTTCCGCGCAGTATACTCGTCCTTCTATTGATAGATATCCCAGATGCTTGGACGTAATGCCCTAAGTGGTCTTACACAGATGGGTAGAGTATTTGCCACATTGGTGCTCAAAGACAAAGTCCAGCAATAATGGTTCCAATTCAATATGTTGGTCGTGCGACACATTGTGCAAGGGGCATTCAACGATAGTTGACAGCAGGCTACTATCAAAATATTCACACAAATTTCGGTTCATTGAAATCGCCTATTATGAGACAAATATCAGCTCTATTCCAATAACAAACATGCGTTAAGACAAAATCATCAACAAGACAACGTAGGCTGCGTTATATTCCTTCTATAGTCATTAGCCAATGCCTAGATTTACTTGGACAAGCTACCTCACACCCAGCACTATAGTTAGTCTCTGATGGGCTCGATTGTAAACGAAAGTGATCCACAACATATAGTATTATGCCTTTTTGTGATTTATAGCTCATACTTCTAACACAGATGTGTCCCGTAATGACTGGAAAACAGTCCACATATACGACGAGGTACGTTGCTGTAACAACAATTATGTTGGGAAAATGCAGTCATCATCAAGCTTAGTCCAGACGTTTTGTTTGTAAGACTATGAACGTTTGTGATACACACCTAAGGTGTTTTGACAACTACTTTTCTATCCATACAGGTCTCGGGAGCATCCTATTACGACCTGATCTGTTTCACTGTTTTGCTTTTGAGTTTTTAACTCAAGCAATCTCCCACTTGATTCCGTCGACTACCAATATTCGAGTTTTTCACTAGTTATTTGGTAAATTCTTTCCCCGTAACTTCCAAGTGATATCTTCAAGATCTTTGTTGACTACGTCTTGTCTCCAACGCACTTACTGAGTTTTGTTACTGAAGTAATATGTTCTAAATCCCTTACCAGCAGTGTCTTTCTGATGACAGAACCCGCCAACGCTGTCGTATGAATGAGTTTTGACAGTCGTTTTTTTCGACACCCCCAGATTCCAAATTATTTTTATTTATTTATTTCAACACATAGATAATGGTACAAAGAGGCACCAAATACATATGCGCCACACAAATCTCATTCGATATGTGTGAGGGCTGTGATACCGCCCGGGTGCCCAAACCGAAGCAGGTGGTTTTCTTAGGGGGCCACACCCCGAGCCTTCGACCTGAGCGTCTGATCCACAAGGCAATGGAGCATCGTAAGGAGATGCAGTCCCATGGTAGCCGGTGACCAACAATTGGTTTATTCGCCATTGTTCCCGCAGGATACTGGAGCCCATGTGCACCATTGATTTGGAATCCGGTTAAAGCGCCGGACATTCGCTTTTCGTCGTCTCATTTTCGTAAACAACACCCCCGCCACGAGAAGGCAGTGAGTAGGACTTCCCTGGCAGAGGCTATATACGCGTGGCCGTGTGAGAGTATTTCGAGAGGGAGAGCGGACTCTCCCCACTCTCGGCCGTACCAGGGCATTTGGGGGCCAGATTCCAAATAATTAAACCAGGAATGGATATGACTTCCCTGGAAGTTGTTAACGGCTTTTTATCGTATTGTCGCTTCCTTCCTGTTAACTACAGGAAGCTTTTCTTAAGCTGTCCTTCTGGTTTTAACTTTTGGACGGATTCGCAACATTTAACTTTTTCATGAGATTTTTGCCCTCCACATCGTATGGTTGCATTCATCCCATCACTTACACTTGAAGTAGGTGAATTCCGATAGAAGGTATTCACCTTGTCCTGACAGTGAGAGGATAATTACAGTTACACATAACGGTTTGGATAGAGGTTGTTTCATCTTTGAGTTTGTCGACAATTAGTGTCTCAGACTGCTGACAATAGTGAAAGCTAAGTTAACGGTACTGGCGATTACACTTGCTGTTTCTTCTAAGTCCGATCTCAGACTAAGGGGATACCAGCACACGGCAAATTTCCCAAATTTAGATCAGAATCTTCATTTAGTAAAATTGTTTTAATACGGCAATATTTTATATATAACCATGGTGAGGTTAGTTTACAGCAACACATACGTGACTGACACAAAGAAACAAAAAACACTTTGTTAGTGAAAGTATGCAGATTAATTTGGGTCCAGTAGACATGTCTATACAACCCCTGCTTATCAACACGTTAAGAAAAAGTCAATAGGTTACGAAGAAAAGGACAAATAAATCAGAAGCATGGAAAACAAGTACAGCATACTAAAAGATCTGGAAAACACTGGGAGACAAAGTCATCAAAGCAAGTGAAATCCATACAACTGGCTGTACTCGGTATCTTTAAATGAGATAAACTGATGTACAAAAGAATGAGATCTTTGAAATCAAGCCATTTGATTCAGAAAACATGACACAACTAGTAAACTGACATTGAAAGCATGTCAAACTGCACACAAGCCCGTGAGGAAGCCTGAAGGTGTGAAAACCAGGTAAGAGTTTCGAATTACGTCAATAGAAAGCAATACGAGGAAACCTCAACAACTGTTAACATCGATTTTGTAAACAGTACCCAAGCTGCCAGCTTTGAGGAAATTTTGGGGATACACCCAAAGTGAAAAACCTTCCCCAATGTTTGGGGACATCCCCAGGTCTGGGAAAATTTTGGGTTTTTTCGCTCATTTCCCCAAAATTTACAATAGCGGCTTACTCAAAATGGACTAAATTTTCCCCAAAGTTGGCAGCTTGGGTAATGCTCAGACAATGCATGCAAATAGTCCCCTACATTATACATAACGAAATGAAAATTAATGAATTAACATCTATTGGAGTAACAACACAATTTATAATCTTTTTGGGACGCATAAAAATAGCCCAACAGACCAGTCGTACAAAAATTGACTAGCGCGCTTAAAGTGTGCCTCACAATCAATTCGTATGGTAGAAAATGGACAACAGTGATATATTTATTAGTAATGGCTAACAAATGCTGAAACTAGAATTTCTCAAGCTTTAAAAATGTATGATTTACAAAGTATTAAAAACACTTTCGAGCTAACTTATGTGTGAAGCAGGGTAGGAAAACTACTACTTTCAAGCCAGGAGGAAGGACAAGGTTTAGTAGTAAGGCTAGTCAGAGTTGACACGTTGATCCATTTAAACTCTGCAATGCGAGTCTCAGGGACTCCTGATAGCAAACTCATGACTCCTCATGACGAAAATCAAGATTCTTTTGAAGTTATGGGGCCAAAAGTCCTTGATACCGCTATGGAAGCATTTAATTTTGGTGTTTGGACAATATGGGAGACCAGAAGAGTCACTAAATTAGCGATTCTGACAAGAAGAATTAAAATCTATCTATCTGAATTTAGCGAGAAGAAACGATTTCAGTGAGTTTCATACAGTACTGCTCACCTAAGAATGGTGGCAGTAGAGATTATTAGGACCAATTTCATGTAAGTTTGAAAATTGTGTTAAAGAACCGTATATGGGAAGACCTGACCATCTTATTATCAGAACTGAGTGCCAATATATGAATAGACAGAAGTGAGTACCAACATAGTGTGTTGACACAGGGTGAAAGGAAGTAACGAGAATGTTGAATGCACTTCAAACTTGCAAGCCTTCAGCAGCATAGTCAAGATCTATTCAGAAAATAAGAAAATACTATGGAGAAAACTGAAAACGGATAGTAATAGCTTTAAGGTGGTAGACAATGAGCCTCAAAAAGCGCTAGGATCAACAGTGAGTCAATGTTGACAATCTGGGAAAGATCCAAGAAGTAAATCCAGAAAGTGTAGAATGAACATTGGCCATATAAGAGCAGAAAAAGTCAAGGAACAGATTGATGTAAAGAAGACCAAAGAATGGATAAGGGCATCAGAGCACGAAGAAGGAAATCTATATGGCATCTGGAAACCTAGGATAGTTGAAAGTACTAAATTTCTCATGTTATTAAGACAGATGGAGCTTAATGAACTGAACGCATTCTACTTGGAATTGGTAACAAGCTGAAAATCGGGTTAAAAAGAATAATCGACTACTACAAATACTACAACCTTCACAGCCTAAATGGAGATCAAAATTTCTGCTCTCAGTTAGATATCTTCTACCTAGATCCATCATCAGTCAGTCAGGCTGTTTTCCTGATATGAACGGTTTGTGTTCTAGAATCTACTCATTAGTATCAGAATTAGAAACCGAAAACGGAATGGACTCGTCTGGTTTCTAGGATTGTGAATGATTAACATGTCGTTAGTGTTTACTTAAATCATTGTTATTTAGGACCTGAATCGCTGATTTTATAACATTTTTCACTATAATCCTCGTGAATGACTAAAGATCATTTCAACAATAAATAACTTCCCTAAACTGTTAACATTTCATGTATATTGCATATTGTATTTTATATTGGGACAGAAATGGAATGACTGCAGTTTCCCTTGTCCTAACAAAATATCCCACTTGAGTATTTGAACAAAGGTATCTTGGGTCGGTGAAGAGATGTTCAGACCTTTTATCATTCAAACAGGTAGTAACAGCTTCTGCTGCAAAGTTAGATGCATTGTCAGTCGCTAGTACCGTAAGGAATTCTTGACGATGCTTGGATTATGAAGTCAGAATCCAATGAAGTCGTGGCAAAAATTCAAGCCTCTTAGGAAGGAATCACTGGCAACAAGTATCGGCAACAAATACAGAATGTACACTACTAGAGTAACTTTGTAAGGCACACTCGCTTCGAAGAAAGTCTGATAGACTTCTTAAACATATTTCTTGTACTTCATCTCATTTATATAGGCTAGAAGTCAGGAATGTGCAAATGATAATCAGAGCAAAAAGGAATATTAGGAAAAATATTAGGGAGCCGTCATTAGTGAACGTCCTTTTATAGGATTTATCGAAGATAGTGCATTTGTCAGTAGAGCCAGAGGCTTCATATTTGATTCGAAACCGTTACCTTTAACAAGATATCCAAGGTATTCAAAACCAGATATACAGTATGCTAACCTATTCGGATTGGCGGTAATATTCTTTTCATCGAGACGATGTAATACAGTAAGAAGTCTCTGATGATGAGCTACTTAATCTTACCAACGACTTATAAGATGCCGGTTGTCGAACAATTTAAATCAAATGAGAGGTAGTTTATACTTTATTCGACGAAAATTATTGTTAATTGTCAAAACATATGGTGATATATCTGCGGGAGTTTGAAAATCAGAATCTTTTACGTTAACTTTCGAGAACACCTCAGAAACATGAAGTCGACCGAGAATATCTTCGGACTTAATGTCGTATGCGCTGAATTCAACAAACAGGCTTTCAGTGTTAACTTACAGTCACTACATATCTTAGTGGTCTTTCCATCAGACTTCAAGGTCGAAGCAATAGAAGTTTTCCACTCTTAAGACTGAATTGGCTCAATTATTCTTTTCGAGCACAAATTATTCAATGTCTTATGTACTGTTTCTAGAATATCATGAAGAATTATTTAACTTTTAATAGAGACTGGAAAATCCTGTACTTGAAATTCTCTCGGCTTAGTTTCTATCCCTCTACTGCACTAGAAACATGCAGCTACCAAACTTTTAAGTAGAGCATCAGACTCTTCCTCAGAAGACAATAAAGCCAGATCTACTTCAAACCATTTCAATTTTTTCAAACTCAGCATTTTCGATCCTGCTTCACTAAAAGGAAACTCACAAAGCATTTATGAAAAACTATCAACTTTAAGTAACGATTCTCAGTATCCTTATATGGGCAATTTATGTCCAGCAGTTAACAGGTCAGAATGCGTAAAGATAGATCATGTTCCCACTGAATCACGACGCTCCTGATCATTTGAGTGGAAATTGCCACCACACAACAACATCAATCGGTTAAGAGAATGTATCGGAAAAGGTGAATAAGGAAACTTGTGGAATCTACCGCGACATCTTGTTGTACCTGTGGAGGTCATTATTATCGTACGCAACTTCTCCGATCGACGGAATCACAATGTAGTTTGTGGAGGACAACTCACATATTCTTTACAACTGAGGAATGAAATCAGTAAAGAGTTTATACTCTCGCCTTTCTTTACTCTCCAGGCTGTCGACTGGATAGTTTGGACCTGTATACATAAGGAAAAGCAAGAAATAAAGAGACGGTGTATAAACAACTGGAAATAAATAAATACACACATTTGAGGACACAATTATTCTGAGGTATGTTGGAGTTTGATCTCATCCACATATCCAAAAGTTGAGCGATTCGTTTGTACATCATCCAGATTCAAGACTAGTTGACCTCCAGAAGAATCCAAAGATAATGGATAAACCAGAAAACTGGAACGTCCGAGTGATGAAAAACCATCAAGAACGACTTCTAAGCCTATGCTTGGCTAAAAGAAACTCCGATAGTTCTGGTATTAATCAATCATGAATGAACTGAAGACAAAATGCCAATTGTATCTGGAAAATTTGAATTATTAATTAATTATTATTATATATAATTGGATAATGTTCAATAAAGGTACAATTCAATTGTCGTGTGGTTAAAATCTACAGAGTATATTTTAGTTGGGAAGACCCGTAGTACTTGTCATCCCATAAGTCTGGACTCTGTGATACAATGATCAACCACCAAGGGATTGTATTTACTCTGCAAAAGCACTTAAGGCCGAACAAGGTTTCATGTTTGTAAATAATTGTTGCACGTAGTATTAGCGTTTACTTGGAAGCAGTAGCTATCTGAAACAACAACACGACAGTCAGAACCGGTAAATGCCTCTGAAGCCAGAACGCGGCGTACTAGCACGACAGATATATTTTCGAAAACTGGGAGACGCGATTCGCGTACAAAAAGGGAAAACTTATAACAAAATAGTTTTATCAATCATTCTGCAAGTTCAGCTTATGTAGGGCTTGTTCATCTTCATCCAGTTCATTTACTCTTTTCTGCACTGCAATAAGAAAAGACTCGCGTTAGTGACGGCACATGTGATTACTTTTGATTCTGTTACACAATATTAGCTTGAAATAAACATCGGTGGTTGCTATGGCGACACATTTTTGTCGAATAGTCTAAACAGCTGCAGATAAATACTGTTTCATTAACTCTTCATCAAAATTTCTAAAGTAGAGTTTTTTAAATGCATTGATTCGTCTCGTTCAAACAACTCGGTTGCTGAAGCTTTAAGTACATATGATAGATGAGCCGAAACCTGAGTAGCAAATTTTGACAGCTTTTGTAACTGAAATTATGATGTAATGTTGTCCTAGGAATCTATATTAATGGGTAACTCTGAGGAAGGAAGGCTCATGGCTTATGATTTAATGGTTAGTAAGGTGCTAGAAAAACGTTTGCATTTTGTGGCACAGCAGCGCGATATTCCGCAAAAGCATTTCCATTAGTACTGTTATGACCTTGGGTATGTCTGGTTTCGCTATCACGTGACCTATCTACCAATCCGGATACGACTTATGCGAACTTCACACTAGGCCAACCAATGACGTTCAACCGGTGTGGGCAGTCTAGCGTCCTTATTGGTCCTATGTACTACGAGCCCTTCCACTTGAGTCCAGAACACAATACCAGCTTCGAATTAGGGCAGATCGTTTATTTCAAACATACTCGGTTTATATATCAAACAGACAGACCACAACACACCATAAATTAGAAAATAACATATGTACACAAATAAGCCAAAAGTGGCTGTGAACGCGGGAGATAGTAATTAATAGACTGAACATAGATAAAGAACCGTAAATCGTAGAATAATAAATTATAGATCAAAATAAAGCTTATAATAAGAGGGATATAAATTTACATAATCTAATTATTCAATAGTTTTACAATAAGAATATTTATAGAATATTTGTCCATTAATAGACCTCGGGAGTTACCTGTAATTTAATCTTCGCTCGGATATAACACCTCCCCTTT